TGGGGTTAACTATTTCTCTCAGCCACCTGGGTACAGACGCACAATCAGGACTAGCCTTGGTAGTTGAAACACCATCCGTATCAGTCGCAAACAGGTTTTTAGTAAGCCTGTGTAAAGTAGGTACTCTAGAGTGTTATCACTCTATTATTTTTTTCCTGGATTATTTTTTTCTGATCCGGGGATTCAGTCCTTTTCCGCTTTGTAAAGTATCGTACTAGATGTAGGTACATACGACATATGTGATTACTTCTCGTGGTGTCTGGGAACAAAATATAAGACATATCATGTCAATGGCGCCATCTAGAATAAGAACAAAAAAAGCAAAAGGAGTGAGGTTCCGAGAACCGTGAAGCTCTCTCGGGGTGCAGGGGTAATAATTGCCGACTTCTTACAGGGAAACATCCGAGAGGTAAATATTACTCCTCCCCACAGATTTGCAACAAAGATTTTACCTAGGTACATACTCAGAGTAGGTACTCTACATGAATTGGCGAGAGGTCTCAGGCCATGTGGAGTACCGAATACCGGTGGATTCCCCCTTGAGCCTCTTTTGGCACAGTGGGAGCTGCTGGTGATCCTTGCACTTGCGTGTAATGCGGCTGTAAGTGTTCGGGTCGGGACAATAACTATCAATACGCAGCCGGGGATCCCTGAGATAGTAAGGCAACTATTAATATATAGATATATCCATACTCACTCTCGAAAGGTAGGTAAAACCTCCTTATAATTAGTGGGGTATTTGAGTTCCTGTAATTCATAGCTTGTGGCGTGCTGTGGCTTCTGCAGCAGAAATCTGGCCGAATTTTGACCGAATTATGGTAACCTAAGTACAACTGTAGGCAATGTATTCTAATCAAGAAACACCACTAGTGGAGTTAGTAATTATCTGTGAATCAAGCTATTAGCGTACATCACTAACGTCGTGCAATACGATTTGAGGGCCTTAGACATTATGGATTGAGGCCATCCTTCATAGAACGCAGGTACGTAAACCCCCCATGCAATGTGCTTCTAAGTGATTGGGATCTTAAGAGTATCTAGCTTGCCCAATCTACTAAATTCTTCCAAGCGATGTGAAAGAAGCGCTTTGCATTGCATATGAATATATATACCAACGAAAAAGAAAAAAAATGCGGAGTGTCGAAGAGCCTGCATAAGTATGCATAATTAAACATTAGCTTCGGTCGTCTTGTTATTCCACAAGTATATTCTAGCACTTCATAATTAAATTAGAGGTAGAGTGGTTAAACATATATTCTTCTTGATTTCTGCAGTCTAGTGCAATTTCTCACTGGCTTGGAGTGGGTACCTTATTGTACAGTCGTGGTTAATTAGTAAAGCATTTATATTGATATCAGAAACCACATGTATCTGAATTATTCAAATAAAGAGTTCTTGCCGACCTCTTTGCTAAATTGATATGTAACCTTTGAGTGTGCCATTTCAAGCAATAGCATAGAAATTAAGTTTAATCCCTTCATGTACCTAAGGGCATTTGGCCCAACCACCTACTTAAATCCTCAATTTTAGTCAAAGATATTATTTCATCCTGAACACACCCAAGAAGAATCAATTGAAACCGTAATATGATAGAAGGTATACTTGGAAACTTGGTATCAATAGTGACATTGTGGAGGAGAATACTTTCAAATATTACCAGCCTATACTCGTAAACCTCCACAAAAAGGGACCATTGTATTCTGGCAATAGTTTTCCGTCTAGGGTGGTATTGCTGAGCTCATGAGAACGTTTCCTCGTTATCTCTAAAATAATTCTCCCAAGTGTTTTATAGCCACTTGTATATAGCCCCATTGACAGTATCTATAAAATAACCTGCATTTTATATTCACCATATTTGTATCGATTTCAAATCATTTAAAAACAACAATTCGAAGATATGAATCTAGAACCATAGTGTTTGAGGTATATTACACTAGGGGCGATGAGCTGACCTATGACAAGATACTTAATATCAAGCAAGGCAGTCCGGTATTTCCATACTAGTGAAACCAAAAGGAAAGCGATTCTTTGTGTAAAAAAGGAGTGCATAAATATGGCATAGCGGGTGTGTTGCCCTGTATCACAAGTGCACATACTCGTGGCTATGAAGCTTGGATATAGTAAATATACAGGCTGCGCTGGGGTTTATAATTCATGCATATATGCTGCTACTGTATAATGTATGTAGCAGGTATAGCATATACTAATGGATATCTAGGCTATGCCATGGGTCTAACCGTCGGAAGAATATGGTCCAAAAAGCTAATCATACGCGACTGCCACATGTACCGGACGTATCGAAGACTTTGGCCCACTCCTGGTATCTGATTTCGGACTGCAAACATCCCTATACCCCATAGGTAATTTTTGCAACTAGATGCTTTAGGGTGTCGTCCAAGAACTATACGTTCATTTATGCATGTGTAGTCATTGAATTGGCTGCCACAAATTCTTTGACCCATCAAAGAGGTTTTTGATATTGAGCTGACATGACGCTGCATAGTTTTCGATTCTACCCTTCATAGATAGGGTATCAAAAGGGGTTCATAATAGGCATGTGTCTTCTCAATGTGCCGAGAGTACATTGCATATAGAACCTTCTTACATGTTCTGGCCCCGCTAGGCGGACTGAACCTTCCATGCTTGGGTACTCTGGATCATGTACAGGCGATTTGTACCAACACGCTTCTTTCTCAACACGAGATACGCATGCTAGATATTAATCTCTACTGAAAGGTTTGAAGTTAAGACGTGCACTGTCCAGTACCTTCTTCTTGTTCCGAGTCACCTGTCACTATGACTATTGATGGACTAGAACTAGTCAATGCATATAAAGCATCTCTGTTGCCGTCACCCAACGAAATGGAAGAGCCAACCTCTACTCATATCATTCAATGGTTCAAGCTCATCCAATAGGCACAGGTCGCTCACTGTCTGCCAAACTGCATCTGTGTATTGTACTGTGAAATGAGGGTTTATTCGGGTTAAACCGAGCAAGGTAACTGTGCCTCCTGCGGCGAGACATTGAAGTTGTACTGGAGACGCACCGACCCTTCTGTTGGTAGCGTACAGAACTATCGGTCCCCGGACGGGAAGGAGCGGTTAGGACGTTAGTAAGTAATCTGATCATCCAATCTCGGTTCTTCAATACATACGCATGAGAAATGAGAAATGAGACAAGATATTGGCCCCTCCAACCAAAGTTACGGGAACGAGATGGAGATACAACTGGACCCCGCAGACGTAAGTAATGTCACAGCAAGACCCGAAATTAGGTGGCTTACACATACATTTGGGTAGGCAGCTACCCACGTGATTTCATGTGCTAAGTTACATGTAGTTTAGGCGGCCTTAGCTTGCAAGATGGTCTTTAAGAACTATGAAGTGGCTTGTTTGACTATGAAAGAACTTAGTGCTGTCATAAAAGCACTATTTGGCCTCATTGCAGTCTTCTCCTTTTTGTTGATGTATTTGTTGTTATTCAATCAACGATTAATTGATACTTCTATCAAGCTAGTTCTCTAGAGATGTTTGTGCAGCGCAACTACATACAAGCCTTTAGTGGACCTACACCGGCCAATTGCAAGGTCAGATCCTCGGAGGATCTGAATGCTTGTATTGTGGAAGTAAGCTCACAAAGCGAGGCCTATAAGCTTATTTTAACTATCGGTATTGGATATTTGCTAACTCAATAGAACACTTGAGGCTCAATGGATAAAGCTTAAGCTTGGCGGCAGTGAAATGGCGCTTCCAAAGGCTCGGAATGCCCGAGATCCTGAGCTACTGTACGCACCTACGTCGTAAATCACACTTTCGAGGAATCCAAGTTTAAAATCGGTCACCCTGGTCGTGGTGAGGTTCCGCCAGCCTACGCATTCTGTAGAAGACTGCTAAATCAAGGCCTTGCTTTCAATTATATCCAAGGATAAAACCTTATTATTAAGATGCCCCGACCTCCCGATGTCACCTGTTGAGGGAGAACACTAAATAACCAGGACGGCCCGTGGATCCGTTGATTAAGAGCCCTCTTACCACGTACGTGCCGCACGCGAGCGATCGGAATATTTGGAATGGCGCGATTGAAATATATATCCTTATTAATGGCCGGGAGATCTTTTTCGGCGAGTCTTCTATTAATTCTAAAGAAATATGACGAGCTTTGGGATTAAACTTGAATATATGAATATAATGGGAAGTCAAGCTGATCACTAGCTAGGGAGTTGATAGAAAGTTCGATAGTATTTTATCTATTGCCCCGCATTGCCCCTCACACGATGGTCCGGGCCTACAATGCCGAATCGCACTGAGGCACTTTTGGACTAAAAAGAAAAAGAACAGGGAAAAGTGATTCTAATAGAAGCAGGAACAATTTTCGATATTAACCCAAGAACTGCCACGGGGGCTGTCGGCCTTAGCTCCCTCTAGCAACAAGCAGAGCACAGTATTTGCCATTTCATCCTTTGGGTGTCTGCTGAATCCTGGGGTCTGTCTACGTACCGCATTCCCCGACGGCCTTTCCCCGGGCTAAGAAGGTATGCATTGCATAACTAGCAGACAAGCATTCGTCTGATGCTCTACAACAACAACCAAAACGGGTAGAGTCTCCCACCAAACTGGGAAAGAATGGAAACAAAGAGGCAAACCAAAATTGGCTCGTGATATAGCATTTCCCCACCTTATTTACCCATGGCAGTAGAGTACCGATAGACCGCGTACTGCCTCTTCTCGTGAAGAGCCAGCCAACAGGCGGGATCACCGTCATTCCGTATATGGCACTAAAGCTTAGACAATAATAGAAGCTATGCTCTAAATACGATATTCACTAAGTGCTTTTCGTGTATCTTTGGCTTTAAGCTCCAAGAGCTAGCTTGCTACTTAAGTGTTCTCACACCCGCTTCTCATAGCTATAGAACCACCCTGTAGCCCTCATAGATATCTCCCATATATCCACGCTGTTTCAATATCCTTATATCCTCAATTCTTTGGTTTAGGCAGACATCATGACCGACCTTTCACTCCCGAAGGACTTCTTCTGGGGATTTGCTACTGCAAGGTATGATAAATTTCTCCATGGTTGAATTCTGTTTCATTCAGTATCTCTATCTCCGATGTTTACCCTCATAACTGCTCACTCGAACACGTTTGATTTTATTTTATTTCTTTGAAACGCATCTAACATTGTAAATCAGTTACCAAATCGAGGGAGCTGCCAAAGAAGATGGCCGTGGCCCCTCTATATGGGACACCTTCTCACATATCCCAGGAAAGACAGCCGATGGCGGCACCGGCGATGTCGCTTGCGACGCCTACCATCGCACCAACGAGGATGTTGCACTACTCAAATCCTCTGGCGCCAATGCCTACCGCTTCTCTATCTCCTGGTCGCGTGTGATTCCTCTTGGGGGTCGCGATGATCCAGTCAATGAAGCGGGTATTGCATTCTATAAGAACTATGTTGACAAGCTGCTAGAAGCGGGCATCACCCCCTTCGTGACACTGTTCCATTGGGATCTCCCACAGGCGCTGCATGACCGCTATCTGGGCATGCTAGATAAGGTGGAGTTTGCAAAGGATTTTGAGAGATATGCAAGGCTCATGTTTGAGCGCCTGCCGAAGGTGAAGCACTGGATCACACTCAACGAGCCATGGTGTTCAAGTGTGTTGGGTTACAATACGGGATTGTTTGCTCCAGGAAGATGTAGTGACAGGACCAAGAGCGATGTTGGCGATTCGTCAAGAGAGCATTTGATTGTCGCCCACAGCTTGCTGCTGGCGCACGGCGCGGCGGTGAAGGCCTATCGCGAAGACTTCAAGCCTAAAGATAAGGGAATTATCGGTGTCACTCTTAATGGTTCGTTATCTCTCTTTCTATCGCTTTGAGCCCCCCATTGACAGTGCGATAGGCGACTGGACCGAGCCATGGGACCCTGCCGATCCCCTCGATGTCGAAGCAGCTGAGCGCAAGCTTGAGTTCGCAATCTCTTGGTTCGCTGATCCGATCTACTTCGGTAAATATCCCGACAGCATGCGGAAGCAGCTCGGTGACCGACTTCCCGAGTTCACCCCCGAGGAAGTTGCGCTCGTAAAGGGCTCCAACGACTTTTACGGGATGAACCACTACACCGCCAACTACATTAAGCACGTAGATACACCTGCAGCGGAGGATGACCACCTAGGAAATCTCGAGTGCCATTTCTATAACAAGGCTGGTGACTGTATCGGCCCAGAGACACAGAGTGTGTGGTTGAGGCCCCATCCAGAGGGTTTCAGGAAACTACTCATATGGTTGAGCAAGCGCTATGGAACACCGACTATATATGTTACGGAGAACGGAACAAGCTTGAAGGGCGAGAATGACCTCCCATTGGAAAAGATGGTCAATGATGACTTTAGGGCCGAGTACTTTAGAGGATATATCACAGCAATGGCAAGAGCGAGGGCGGAGAGTGGCGTGGATGTGAGAGGCTATCTAGCCTGGTCGCTACTTGAGTATGCCTCTCTGCTATATTCCGATCAACTATATGTTACAAAGCTAACGGTTTTTTTCTTTCTATAGTAACTTTGAATGGGCAGAGGGTTATGAGACAAGGTTTGGAGTCACAGTTGTGGACTACAAGGGCGGACAGAAGAGGTACCCCAAGAAGAGTTTTAAGGTGATTGGGGAGGTGTTTAACCAATTGATCAAGAAGGATTAGAGCGGTGGAAAATTGTCGCCCCTCTTTCTGTTTCTCTTGTAAGATTTACGCCGCACTTTAGCTAGCTAGTCAAAAAAACAAAATACCATTGATTGCAGAACAAACAAAACCTATACCGTGTTTTTCCGGTGCTTGAAATTCTGTAGACTTGATGGCGGCAGATTTACAGAGTCTTCTTACCCATTTCAATGACTACATGTATATGTATCCTTGGAACGAGTATTGTCGTATAAGATACGTGACTATCAGTTACGTATACTACAACTATGGCCAACTTATGGCGAAGAATAGGTGGTGTGACAGCCTGTCCTCAATTATGTCGTATAAAGCTAGAAACTCAAGTAGTCCTAATAATATCATCATCATTTCTCTCATCCAATAGTTTGGTTTTGCTACAGCCATTGGAAACGTAGTACTGCCTTAATACAGTATTCAGAGTTGAACTACACATCGTAAGTACTGTCTGAATGCGCTTTGATAATCTATCAACGGAACATCACTAATTCGCCAATTGATCCACTCTCAACCACAGATTCTCTCTCCAATATTGACAATCAGGTTATTCGCAATCATACATACCATTCCCTCACGGAAAGTCCAATACCGGAGAACACCCGTACCCGGTGATAATACCTGGTATACAGCCAAAACACCATATACCAAGTACTCTAGACGTCCTGGATCATCCCGGTTTATATATTTCCCCTCTCTTCTCTACTCTTCTCTACTTTGTTTTGTTTCCGTGTTTATATTACCAGTATTCTTCCGTCCCGTGCCTGCATTGCATAGCGGGTCCAAAAAAAAAAAACTATCTACATCTCAAGAAGCATCTCTCATTATCCCATTATCCAGAACACCGGTTAGCTAATTAATATTAGTTATCTATAGTAGCACACATATGTGAGGACGTCTCTCCACCCTATGAAAAGACCCCGCCCACAAAACCAAAAAAAAGAAAAGAAAAGGGCAAACTAAAGGGTAAAAGAAGGCAGCCAGTAGAAAAAAGAAAAGAAGTCGCACATACGCGTTCCACATGACCGGTAGAACCTACTCTAATCAACTAGGTAGTTGGGTAGGTACTACTCGCGACCAGCAACAAGAACCCGAAAATGCACGTCCTAATCTGCAATTTCCATTGGAGTAGAAGTCAAAAATACACCAAAGAATTGCAGCTGCATATTCGGGTTCTTGTTGCTGGTCGCGAGTACAACCTAAGGGTAGGATGGGATGATTACTAGCTTAAAGGGATGATTTTATGATTTGATGAGATGATGATATGCGCGTCATGAGAAATCACCATCCAGCTGGGGTGGCCAATCGGAAAAAAAAAAAGAGGACAATATGTACTCTGGGCCAGGGAAGGTATTAATTTGCAGATAGTCAGGGACGATTACGAAAAGGCCTTTTTCTTTTTTCTTTTTTTCTTTTTTCTTTTTTCTTTTGGTAAGTAATTCAATTCAGCCTTGGTTACTAGCTCAGTTGTGATAGGTACATGTAGTTACTGACACGTACAAGTAGGGCTTAGTTAGTAACTAGAGCACTCCACATCATCGTGAACTGCGCTGTTGCTGATCCCATCCATCTGGATCATGAGAAATCACTTCATACACTAACCAAGCTGCTAGCTAGCTGCGGGGCGCCGCGCCGTGCTGCCGGATTATGCAGGGGTTGTCGGATGAGATGGTGGTTAACGTTCCCTTTGAGCCTCAATTGTTGGTGTATGTATGTCTAGTCTGCCAAGGTGAGGGGAAACGGATCCAGCGACGCGCAGATGGATGCTCAGTGTAGGGTGTAGAGTAGTTTGGAGCACAGGGACAAGGCAGAAGAGGTACTGTAGGTACAGATGGATTAGGTACTGTGTGCAGCAGGAGCTTCTTCGGAGTTGTCTCTCGCTCGGCGGCGGCCCGTCTATTTGTACATATTGGGGTCAGAGCCGAATCCCGAGAGTTAGACAAAACACGTGAGGCTTCCCCAGCCTGTGATTCGGCCGCTTCCGAACACCACCACCGCCCACCCCCTCGTTGCTCCGATGCCGAAACAACAACAGACTGCTAGATACACACACACATGCCTACAACAAGACAATGATGCCGAATTGAATTGAATTGAACTGGACCATGTACTGAATTGAATTGAGTCTCCGTATCCCGCCCCCTAGATGCCTAACCTGTACGTTACCTAGCTATTACCTACATGTACTTTGATTCACCCACTAGGCCTGCTACTAGCTATGTAGCTAGCTAGCAGTCCTTCACCGCACACCGCACACCGCCAGCCAAGTAACCAGCTAGCTGTCCCTTTGTGTGTGCACTGTTCACCCGGTACGGTAGTTGTGGTAGACAGCACCAGCACCAGCACCAGCACCACCGCGGCCAGCACCAGAGCCAGCAAGCAAAGCAAGCATTGAAGAATGCCAGTTAGCACTACATGATACAGCGAATTGCTTGAAACGTCTACTTTCGAGACACCCTGCTGTTATTACCCGTCCCTTCCTCTCGCCCGGAGGTTTTTTTCTTTTCTTTCTTTGTTTCCATGCATGACATGACGGGATGGATGATGGATGGATGGATGGATAGAGCTATGCTTGCTTGCTGTACCCTACTTCTTTTTTTACACCGATGCCGGTGAGAGAGAGAGGGGACGGGGGTGGAGAGAGGGGGGGAGAAAAAACAAGACATTTTATACTCAACCAGAAAGCTCATGCATATGTATATGTATACGGATCTCACCCAGGGGCGGTGAACGTCGACCGACCCTGCTTTGGAAGGAGAGCAAGCAGCTGTCGAGCCAAAGTAGGTACGTACATGGTACATAACCTCTCTATGCTATACGTACGTACGTACTGTCCTACATCCTACATGCATAGCCGTTCAGGCGACAGAAATGCGCGAGGAGGTATGCTGGCTGGCTGGCTGGCTGGCTGGCGGGCCCTTTGCAAAAAACTGCTAGTGCCGGGATTATTATTGACGGGCTCTCCACCACCACCACCACCCCCGTCTCAATCATGCCCCTCCCCCCCCCTCCCCCACGCCCGCACCCCCCGCCGAGGAGAGAAAAAAAAAAACTGCTAGCTAGCTGTTGTAGTGAGTGGGTTAGCTCCCCAGGTCTGGCTGGCTAGGGATATTTACAAACAGGTTGTTCACATCTTTCCCCATACCCGCCGAGGAGCCCAGCCAGCCTTGCTATTCTCCCCTTACCGCCCACTGCCCACCTGCCCACCCCTCCATCAATCCCTTCCTCTTCTCATCACGGTACATCACATCACCTCTTTTTTTATTAAAGAAGATCAGGCAACACAGGGTATACACAGCTAAGCAATTAGAGTCTTGTCCTGGGTAAACAAGTCGTGTGCCGTGAGTTTGTGTACCCACGCTGTAATAGAGCATCCGAAAACAAAAGATCCGGAGATAGAGAGAGAGAGAGAGCTCTCAAGTACCATATAACCCCCCGCTATACCTCCCTCATGACGACTCCCACCTCCAGACGCAAACCACACAACCGCCAGAACAAAACCCACGACCCACCAAGCTTCACACCCAGCACCAGTCTCCACATCCAGCTACACGTCTCCTCCCTCCCCTCACCTCTCACCCCACTCACACGACCTCCACCACCACCACCGCCGCCGCCGCCGCCGCCAATGGCCGCCGCCACCCCAAAGTCCGTCACAGCTCTCGGCGCAAACTGGGAGTTCAAGCAGGCCGACAAAGACCGCTTTCTCCCCGTCGCACAGTTCCCCACAAACGTGCATCTAGACCTGCTCCACCATGGCCTGATCGCCGATCCGTTCTTTGCGAAGCAGGAGCTGGACTGCCAATGGGTCGGCGAGAAGGACTGGATCTACCGCACCACGTTCCGCGCGCACAAGCCGGAGAAGGGCGAGTGCAAGGTGCTGGTGTTTGAGGGACTCGACACTTATGCGGTTGTGACGGTGAACGGGGCGGAGGTGCTGCGCACGGATAATATGTTTATCGAGCACCGCGTGGATGTGGGCGCGGTACTGAAGGACGGGGAGAACTGTGTGGAGATTTTGTTTAAGAGTGCGTTTTTGGAGGGGAAGAAGGTGCAGGATGCGGAGAAGGAACATCATTGGGGATGCTGGAACGGGGATCCGAGTAGGTTGGCAGTGAGGAAGGCGCAGTATCATTATGTATGTCCGTCTTTTTTTTTTCTTTTCTCATTTCATTTTTTCATTTTTTTTTAATTCTAATCATTTGGAATTATTTCTTTTTTCCCCTTTTCCTAAATCTGCTGTTGTTGTTGGGTTAAGGATCAGCGAGCTCTTGTCGGTGGGGGGGGCATGATCGTCAGCACTTGTTTTTTTTGTGATTTGCCAATCATTGCCTGATGCGGGACTGACAGTTGCGGTTCTGCTGCCGTTACACAGGGTTGGGATTGGGGTCCAACGCTCCTGACTTGCGGGCCCTGGCGCCCTGTCACACTCGAGACCTACACCACGCGCATCTCCAGCCTGCGCATCACCACGGCGGTCTCATCGTCGCTCAGCTCTGCGAATATCACGGCAAAGACATCGATCGAGGGTTACAATGCCGAGTCGACATCGATCCACTACAAGATCACCTCCGCGTCTGGTGCCACTGTCCTCGAGTCCTCGGCCCAGTCCGAGGGCGATGACACTGTGTCTGCGCTGACGCTGGAAGAGCCGGAGCTGTGGTATCCGCATGGGTATGGCGCGCAGCCCCTGTACAAGTTCACGGCGACCCTCAAGGACGCGAGCGGCGTGGAGATTGATAGCGTCACAAAGACAATCGGTGTCAGGACCGTCAAGGTCGTTGAGCGAGAACTCAAGGACCAGCCTGGGACATCATTCTTCTTTGAGATCAATGGCGTGCCCATCTTCTGCGGGGGGAGCAACTGGATCCCCGCAGACAACTTCATCCCGCGCATTGGCGACGAGCGATATAGAGAGTGGCTGCAGCTGCTGAAGGACGGGAACCAGGTCATGGCCCGGTAAGTCAATATAATTCATTCCCGCACCGCACTCACCCCCGGCGGTCGGTCGGCTTCATGGGTGATCACTCGGCTAATGAATGATTTAGTGTCTGGGCCGGCGGTATCTATGAGCAAGATGCGTTCTACGACACCTGTGACGAGCTTGGTATTCTCGTGTGGCAAGACTTTGCCTTTGGGTGCGGAAACTACCCAGCTCACATGGAGTCGTTCCGGGAGTCGATCAAGAAGGAGGCCACATACAACGTGCACCGCCTTCACACCCACGCCTGCATCGTGCTCTGGGCCGGCAACAACGAGGACTACCAGTACGCCGAATCGATCGAGCCCGACCACCTTGGCTACGACCCCAAAGACATGAACCCCGACAACTGGCTCAAGTCCGGCTTCCCGGCCAGGTACCTGTACGAGAAGCTCCTCCCCGACGTCGTCGCTGAGCACGGCGCCGGCGTCACCTACCACCCAGGCTCGCCCTGGGGCGGCGTCGACAGCCGCGACCAGACCGTCGGCGACATCCATCAATGGAACGTCTGGCACGGCTCGCAGGAGAAATACCAAAACTTCGACAAGCTCGGCGGGCGCTTCGTGTCCGAATTCGGCATGGAGGCCTTCCCCGACATCCGCACGATCGACGCCTACCTCCCCGAAGGCTCCGGCGAGCGATACCCACAGAGCTCCACCATCGACTTCCACAACAAGGCCGACGGCCACGAGCGCCGCCTCGCGCTGTACCTCGTCGAGAACTTCCGCTACACCTTCTCGCCGCTCGAGCAGTACGTGTATGCCACGCAGCTGATGCAGTCCGAGTGTCTGTCAACGGCGTACCGCCTGTGGCGGCGCGACTGGAAGGGCCCTGGCCGCGAGTACACCGCGGGCGCGCTGGTGTGGCAGATCAACGACTGCTGGCCCGTGACGTCGTGGGCAATCATCGACTACTACCTCCGCCCCAAGCACGCCTACTTCACCATCAAGCGGGAGCTCGCGGCGGTGGTGACAGGGATAAAGCGTGTGCGTGTTGAGACGCCGCGGGACCCGTGGACGCGGGTGGACATTGATGTGGAGGAGCGGGTGCAGGTGTGGGCGGGGTCGTTCAAGACTGAGGGCGTCGAGGGCGTGCAGCTCGTCGTGAGGAGCTGGGATGTGGTCTCGGGGGAGAAGGTGTATGACGAGGTTGTCAAGGAGTTTACGCTGGAGGAGAACCGCTCGGTGGAGGTTGCGGATATGCGCCTCCCGGGATGGAGCGGGAAGGCGGAGGGCGAGCGGGATGTTGTGGTGGGGGCATATCTGGTGAAGGATGGAGAGGTGCTGGCACGGCGTATTAGCTTTGCGGAGCCATTAAAGTAACCCTCCCCTTCTCCCTCTCTCTTTCTAATAAACAAGCCGAAGATACTAACATTGGGTGAAAAATAGATACGTCAAGCTCCAAAAGCCCAAACACCTAAAGACAGAGGTCTGTGGTGACATCGTCAAGATCAGCGCTGAAGTCCCAGTCAAGGGTGTGGCACTGGAGACGTCGAAAGAGGGCGTGGTGTTTGAAGATAACTTGGTGGATATCGTGCCCGGTGAGGTGGTGGAGGTTGTGTGCAAGGGCTTGGACGGTGGAGAGGTTAGTGTGAGGTATCTTTTGTAGTGTGGGGAATGGAGATGAAATGAAAGGGAGAAAAAAAAAACGGGGGGCTTTTTGTATATTTGAATATGGTTTATATAGGATCTTGTGGAATTTACCTTTGGATTTTTGGCTTTGTGATCTTTGATGTTTGGGGTTGGGTGTGTGCGTGTGCGTGTGCGTGTGTGTATGTGTGTGAGGATATATGTGAGGATGTAGCTATTCTGTGTCTCTGACCGCTCTCAATTGGTGTTTCTCTGTCTCTTGCTCTTTCTCACATATGAACCTAACTGATAATATATCCCGTAAGGTCCGAGTGATATGTTGTGTCTAAGCACGCTGTTAGAGGGTATGGATGTAAACGTCTCGTGCCCGTTATGTAATATATAATACCTCGCACCTACACTCTTGGCCTCACGGCATCGCAACTGTACCTGTACCCCACTTTCACTTTTCACTTTCACTTTCACTTTCACTTTCACTTTCACTTTCACTTTCACTTTCACACCCTCTCATTTATACGTGCATCTGCAGCTACATGCACCCTCACTCCTAATCCTACATGTACACCTACCCCTCAATTGCAAACTCACACCTAGTGTTGGGCGCGAGCCGGGCCGGCTCGAACACCTCAAGCTCTTCTTCTTACGAGCGCAAGCCAGCTCGAACTAGTATTAGAAAGACTCGACTATCAGTAATGGCAAAATTGGAAAAATATAACGAAGATAAACCCCTTGAGTTCCTCCTTAAAAGTGAAACTTACATCGGGGTGACCATCTTTAGCTCTTTAATTGGAGCTCGAGCCATATGTACTCACGAGCCCGAACATCCCGAGCCTTCGTTTGCACAATCCGAGCCAGCTCGAGCTCTAAGTCAGGCTCGTCTCGAACAGGCTCGTGCCCAACACCACGGGCCACACCCAACCCCACCGCTGACAACCAGCTGCATCTAGAAACCAGCACCACATGCACAACCACCCCACCCCACGCCGCCGCCGTAGGCAGCATTGAAATGGTATCTCAACAGCGTATCTCATGTGAGACCGGCTGGATGGCCGAAATAACCGCCTTAGGTCCCAGGGGGGTGGCAGAGGCCGGTCTCGACCTATCATTCCTAGTACACTACCGAGAGGCATTGGCTCCCTACTGCAGGTAGGGGGATATAAGCCGATCATTTCCCAGCGAACCGTACGCTCCTCAGCGGAGAAAGGAACCCCTGACGCCAGTCCCCCCTCCCCCCCTCTGGGCCATACCCGATCAAATCCCCCTTATATAACACGGCGAGTGATACCCCATGATCCATGTAATGGCTATTCGCGCACGCATAGTGCAGAAGTTCTGCGAGCCGGCCGTTTTCTGTCTCTCGGCCTGAATGCCGAGTTGAGGACGGGATGGGATAGGATGGGGTGGGAGGGATGGGATGAGGGTATGATGATGACTGAGGGATGGCAGGCTACAGTGCTGAGATTAGCCTGGCATGACACCGAGCTGCGTATGTAACGTACCTAGACTGCTGTACTGGTTAAATGGTATGTTATATTGGCTCAGAATACCTTATGGAGGTCTCCAGCTCACCTCTGATACCTGTAAAACCTGGCACATAGTCCCCCTTTCCATTGGGAATAATAGCTCATTGGAAAAAACTACATACTCGACATACATGAGGGCCAACTACATACTCGCGCGGCCGGTTTGAAGCCGCTCATACAGAAGGGGCAAGTGGTCCAAAGACTGCAAAAAAAAAGGCGAGCTCTTGTTGGCTGCCGGATTACTCGCCTTAATTCTTTGGGCGACTTCAAACCGGCCGCGCGAGTACATTCAGGAAGAAGGAAGGAGCTTGCCGTTGCCAAGATGATAGAAACCCTAACCCTGAAGGAGTGAGGCATTTTGGGACACACGCGGTGAACAGGTGCAAATGCTGTAATGGATGACTTCCTGTAAGGATTGGGAAGAGATTTAGGAGCTAAGTTTTCAATCTGGACGAGAACGCCTTCACGTTGTTGTAACCTGTGGTTTTGGTTGCTGCAACCAATCCCTAAGCTGAACGCATGCACCCCTCCGGCTCCCCCACTCCCCCCCTCCCCCCTCGATTCAGGTTTCAGACGAAAGATTGCTTTGTAAATTTTATTGCTCCAAATTCCATCAAAACCGCTTCTAAACGCCTACGGGAAGTCGATCATGCACTAGATGATTATAAGTAGAAACGCAAACATTAATCACAAATTAAATCCATCCCTAGTAATAGGTACATGTAGTAACGCCCACACATATTAAGCTTATCTAAAGCTTAATTTTTACAACTTGCCTTGGCCACCTCGGAACGAGCCGAGATGGCTTGTGTGCCTGCGTCTGCTTTTAATTTAATTTAATGACGTTCGCCGAATCGAGGGATATATGTATGCGATGGCAACGACCGGCGACGCCAAGGCTGGTATTCAATATAATCCGTTTTCATTTAATTCCATTTACATAATTCAAAAGCTATCAATACAGCCGAGTGACATATGATGACCGCCAATTAAACCAGATAACACAGCCTGCCGTAGGAAGAAACAACAAACAAATCGTAAACAAAAATGAACCATAAAGAGAGTATAACCCAAAATTTATCTACAGAAACAAAACCCCTCTTGACTCTATAGTTGTGTTTCCAGCTAGCTAGCTAGGTAAGTATGTAGTAAATTATAAAGAAATTTAAAACGAAAAACACACATAAACACACTGAGCTCCGCTAGCTAGCTAGCTGATCAGATCAGACCAACTCACTCGGCCCCGAGGACGGAGTACGGTCTTTAATCGGATAAGAGTCCAACTCTTGTAGCTCCATCTGCGGATGCGGTGCGTCGCCACTCAACTCTACCACGGGCTCGTGCTTCGCCATATCACTATGGCGATCAATATCGTTCATCAGAGGCTGCGGCTGCGGCTGCGACTGCGACTGCTGAGCGTTCTTCCTTTTCCTGTAGAGCAAGAATGCAAGCACCCCAATTGTAGAGGCTGCGGCAAAGCCAGCGATCGCGATGCCAGCGATCGCACCGCTAGAAAACGTACTCCCTCCAGATTCTCCAGTTGCAGTAGGGGAGGAGGGGTCAGGAGTGCTTGTAGAGCCAGATGCAGAACTGGCAGTGAGGCGGACAGCAGCTGCCGTCGAGGAGAAATCATTGCTGGTGGCAGTTCTGGTGGCGGTTGCGCTGCCAATAGCCGGGTCACTTCCGCCGACGGTATTGCATACTATCCAAATGTCGGTCGTGCCTGTAGCGCTCCTAGTATAGCAGAAGGGAGCGGCAGTTTCCAAGCTATGGTCGAACTTTTTAGCGTACGGTATATATGAATAACGAAATGGATGTTTAAAAATTTACTTACCACTTGAAGCATCCAACCCACTCGGTACAGCCAGTAGCAGTGTAGTCATAACATTCACGAACTGTTGTTGGTGTCGCAGTAGCCGTGGCCGTACTATCACAAAAATTAGTTAGCTTAATTCTCACCTCTCTGATAAACATTGGAATTTTCATAACACCTACGTTAAATAACAATCAACTGTTTCTGAGATAGTATAACATGCTTCGCTCTCGCCACAGACCCCTGAATACAACAACTCAAGTCAGTAAATCATTGCCTTGGGCTCCACTTGACAGGAAGAACTTACATGCATTATCTTTACCGTCGGGGTTACAACATCTGTCTACTGGCATACATCCAGCATTCCCACACGGAGTCCTCCCCTCGCCGCAGTCAAGTACTTGTCTCTCGAATAGTCCTGAACGCCCCTGAATTGGCATCCCCATCCACATATTGGCAGCGCCGACATGTTGTAGAAGCCCAAGTCCAACCACTACCAACGCCCCAAGTTTTTCGCAGGTGATCATTATCGGAATGATGGGCTTTCTTTTCTTGCTGCTGGATTTTGCTCTGGGGTGTTCAGAAGAGATTTGGAGAAGAGGTATGAGCAACGGTGGCTGTAGGATCAGTTTGCCCTAAGGAATGCTGCTTGGAGCTTTGTTCAGCCCTTTCCCTTTTTGGCCATACTGTGCTGTCCAGTGGCACAGATGCATAAAACCATTTCTTTTTCCTCCTATGTATTTTCTTGCTGTTTCGGACAGGGACCTTTTGACCAGTAATTGAAGGTAAAACTGGCTTGGCTGTCTCATCTATCAACTTGAATGACAGTACTGGCTCCTCGAGATGTTGCAACAAGCGCGCGCACACCAAACTCGAGACGATAGGGACAACCGACATATTTCAAAGAGAGAAAAGGTGACTTTATTTAACCCCCTTCATGCCCCTCCCCAGAGCTCCAGTATCCCTTTCTAAACGCTGGAGAAAAACCCTATACGTATGGCGCGAGAAGGCATAGGGGGTGGGTGTGTCAACTTCAGAGGAACTTTTTTTGTATGGGAATTAGAGAAAATTCCACCGTCAGGCTAGGCGCTAGTACCATTATGGGGGTAGATCTCCCAATTCCTATAGATTGATTGGCTGCAAACGCCGAAGTTTACACACCTACCCACCATAGCTTCTCGAGCCATAGGTGCAATAATATACGCATAACTGGTATTTACATACACACCCTTGATTATTGACCAACGCCAATCAAATGAGATCTTGGCATTTTAATAAATGCTCGCAACTTGTTTGATATATATGTATGTACAAGGATCTGGCATTAAGTGAGTGAACTAAATGGGGTGTTGACTGGTGTGGATCCGTTCACTCACTTAATCCCAGAGCCTTGTACTCCCCTGCCAGATTAAATTGCCGCTTACCAAGCATTGGCAAGGTGAGTACAGTCGTTTCTGGGTCAACGGCGAACCTGGCTCGATAACGGATGACTACTCTTTGGGCTGATGGTCCTCAGTCAAAGCAAAGGGGTCGGCGCGCTTTTGTTAGCTTTTATTATCTTCAATTAGCCTATTCGCCATCAAGCCAGTTTCGTCGTTGACCCAGAGACGACTGTAGTGGTGGAAATGATGGTTGTTAACTGGCCACTCAAGCTACGGGCACATGCATGTTGCACAGAACGTTCAACTACTCCACTACATGTACGTAGTTATCATTTCCCTTGGACTTCCGCCTACACTTTTCCTTACATAAGCCCATGGGCTTACTCTCTAGAGCAGGCAGACTTACATTCATGTAGTATTTACACCTTCTATTTGCTCGTAGTGCCAAGCTCATATACGAATTTGCCCCAACCAACACTGGTTGTGATATTCAGATAATATAAAGCTTACTCAATACCCAGAGTCAACAGAGAAAACTCAGTGCAGTAGGAAATATCTGATAACCACTGCTTTTGGTGTAAAAAGTTCCACGGTTGATGTAGGATACCAGCTATTGGTCCTGGAACCGAAATGGCAGTCATGACGCGTGACCATTTGACTATTGATAGAAGTACAGCACCAATTCTTTTTTCTTTTTTTCTTTCTCTTTGAGTAATAAGGTTTATAATACGAGGTTGAACTCGCCGCTACACCGGTCAAAGAAGAGATTTCCATCATTAGACCTTGCATGAGTTTTTTGTATCGATATATGCTCTTATTTCCTGTAATTTCAACGTCCTGTTATTACGTAAGGTTGTAACGAGCTGAAAAAAATAAATAGATAGTACATCTAGTACCGTATGTAGGTAATGTATCCGTTCACTAGTCAAAAAACAATACGGCCAAGAAGTCACTCGCAATATTTTGCGGGTACATATGACCGTTTGAACCACAAGAGGTCATTGAAGACTTCTGACGATTGATCGCCCCGATTTGCACCCAAATTGTTGTTATCCATGTAGCCGCTGACCCTAAGGTTATGATTAATAGAAAGCCGAAGCATCTTGATCCTAAGTGAAGTAATGTACCAGACTATCTCTTAGTCAATCTCTCCTGTCCATTTTTTAATTTGCCGGAAAGATTCACACTCACCGAGAGACGGGAGACATGTTTTCTACTGAGCGGGATCTTCTGCACTAGTAGATACGAAGGAGCTGCCACCTCAGATGTAGTCTATGCTGTTAGACTCTGTTGGGGGCTTGGGCGTCGACACGACATCAAGAGCGTGAGCCAAGGCATTTTATCTTAATTGGTGGGTAAAATTATGGTATTTGATGAAACCGTTGGATCATGAAGCTGTAAGGGAGGAAGGAGTGCACAGACTTTATTCGAATTGAAGCTTCTGCAGAAGTTAGCATAAGACTGCCTGGTTACATAGCTACATGTAGTGTATGTAGGTGAGAAGACCGTGGACGAAAAGAGATATGTATATGGAGGGTGGTCTACATATGACGTTGCGGTTGTGACACGATTCGTAGTCAGTGGCAGTGCTAGTGTTGCAGCCTACGAACAGACTGAACAGCACGTAGATACCTTCATGTATGTATGTATGTGGTACAAGAAGTACTTAAAGGCCTGTATTATACATACATCGATGTGCTGTGGGGGGCTGACCGGGTAGTTCCGCTTGTTGGGACGGTTTGTTTATGCGTCTCGGCGGCTAATATGTAAGAAGACGGTAATATCTGTGCTCGGTCAGAGCATAGAGAAACCGGAATATGTACTCGTAAAATGCCTTACCTATTTAGTCTCCTGGATCTGGAGCTCTTAATGCCTGAACGATCACCCACGGCTTTAAATTGATTGTATGATTCTGCACATCAAACCTGCCAAGATTAAAAGGCTTGTTACTGCTGCTACATATCAGTATATACTTAATCATCACTGAAACATAATTAATTTATGTATGTAGAGTACATCATACCCCTTATTTACAGAATAATGGAGATTTATAAAGATTTATTGCATGTAGCAGCGGCTTTTGGAGTCATACATACCAGTGATTCATGCCAGCGCTTTCCCCCAATCTCCTTAAAAGCGGAGCAACGTATTTTTTCATCAGCATAGTACGAAATTGTACGGTCTTTGATTCCTTTAAAGTCCACTTCGCCCAGGTGATGATCCGTATATCCTATATGTAGGTAGTTTTCAACCACCTGAGAATTTATCTATTGACTGGCCCAATGCTCCGTCTCTCGAGTCACCGTTTGCAATACCGAGTGATAATCTATGACTAACAAATTTTCATAATATTGAAACATTCAGTTATACTCCGGGGAATGGTTTTAGATCTAAATTTCCATTTTTTTTATACCCGTAAATGCATTATAAGGCTATATAATCGGTCTCTGACATGCATGACGACAATAAAAGCATATATCAGATAAGAATCTAGTTGAGTTTCTCACATCGAGCACAGTGTCTGTGTGGATGGATTATGGGGATCAGTGTAGTTCAGTCATTTCACAAGTTTCTACAGAGAAATATATCTACAAGAGTTTAACACCACGAAGATCAACGCGCCTTAGGGCTCATATCCTTTTGTATTGATGACAATATGAATAACACATGCTAAAACACACATTGTATTCAAAGATGATATGTAACTATAACTTAGCCGAAGCTTACAATGCAAGCCAATTTTCAATTGAAAGAGATGATCAAAAACAAAAACAAAAACAAATATAAAATCGTGAAGTCGTGAGTACATATGTATTTACTTTTCAGGTGTTCTAAAACAACAATACTGATAGAGAGAAGAAAAACCTCCCAGATCACCCTTGTAGCATCTAATCATCATCATCCATCAATTGCTCTCTAGCCCACGTTTTCTCGTAATCTAGGGCTGTATGTCCTTGATAGTCCTCAATCCCCGAATCCGCGCCTCTTTTCATCAAGACCTCGACCCACTCCATATCCCCATTCATTGAAGCGAGATGAAGTGGTGTTCTCCCGTCTCTATCCTGGATGTTGACATTGAGTTTGAAATCTCCCGACCTCATGGACGGCAGGAGATGATGAGACCTGCGGACCACCGCATAATGCAGCACAGTCTGTCCATTATTGTCAACACAATCAAGTGCATCTCCTTTCTCTAGCAATAATATGAATGACTCTTTAAAATCAGGACACTTCCCTGCCACGTGCACTGCGGTCTCTCCGAACCCATTTTTCAGAGAAACATCTGCGCCCATATCCAGCAACAGTTTAACCATTGCCGGATAAAGGACCTTGTGTCTCACAGCTCGATGCAACGGCCCATCGCCGTGAAAGTTCTGATCATGAATGTTTGCCCCGGCCTCTAGCAGCATCTTAACAATTCCTAGATTATCTGGTCTACTCGTAGCACGATATAGCGGCGTCTCATCGAACCTATCACGGAATGAAACGTTGGCTCCCCATTCCAAAAGAACCTTTACAACCGACTCATGTTCCCCCGCTGCTAGGTGGAGCGATGTCCATCCCCGGTGTTGGGGGTCCGTGAGGTCTACGTTGATGCCTTTCTGAAGCAGAGTTCGGACCAGACCCACATGACCCCTTCTTGCTGCCCAGTGGAGCGCTGGTATTTCATCTTTATCTAGGACGGCATGTTGGTGGAGAAGTGGTGTAAGAAGGCTGGTGAGATGACGGCTGGCTTGGAGGAGACGAGAGATACGCAATGGAGACTCAAGACTCTCTGCTATAAGGAGGAGTATCTCGTTTGGTAGATCGGAAAGTGAGAGGGTTTTTTCCTTCTCTTTCTCTTTTACTCTCTTTTCTAACTCGTTTGGAGTGATTGATAATGGTTGCGGTAATTGTTGCGGTAATTGTTGCGGTAATGGTTGCTGCACTGGCTGCACTGGCTTCTGCACTGGCTTCTGCACTTTGATAAACCTTCGTCTGAGTAGCACCAGAGCTGAAAGCCTCGACCTCCAGGATTTCCTTGTCTCTGAGCAAGGCTTACTTAACTCCGCCATTGCTCCTGTATCCTCTTTCCCTTCCGCCGACTGATCAGAATTAAAAAAAAAAAAGTATTTTCGATACGCAGTTGTCTATGTTATGACCACGTTATATTCCAACCAACACAATACCAAAAATACATTTTTAGAGGTAGGGTAATATCTTGGCGAGACTAGAAGACCGCATGCGGTGCCCTGCATCTGATATCGACCACGCAATATTAATAGGTGTTTTAACGATAGATTCATGTAGGCCTGGATAGATAAATTGTGTCAGTATCACTGGTGTTCAACCTAATGGTATGTGCTGTAGGAATTCATAAAGCTACATGTAGCTACATGTACGTACTCTATGCATGACATGTGCAAGAACTACATGTATATGCGTCTAAGCATTCCAGCAACAGAACGACCAGATTTTTTGAAATACTACACATTGTGCGATATTAGCCATTCACAAGATGCCATTAAAAAATGATTCTTATACAGAATAAACAAAGTAGAGTATTACACGTACATACATGTACTTGTATGTATGTCTACGAAGCTAGTCTGCAGTTGATACGGGTGAAAGTGACACCGTTGCTGCTGTAGTTGACTTACCGCAACGTCATCAACACCCAGCCTTAATTTCTCTCCACCCCCGAATCACTCCAGAAGTTGTTTTCCATCGCCTTTACGCCCATTTATCCTTCCGGTTTATCACAATTACTGTAAAATGGCATGGGATTCTCGAGATCTCGCTAATACTTTCTGATGTTGATTCTTTTAAACGACGCTTTGTCGTTCTGAAGATGATGCTTTCCTGGGATATGATCTTACTGAATATGACCCATTGGAGGTATGTATGCGATGTAGTACGTACATGTCATGAGATTTCGTCTAATGAGACTGATACCCCTTCCTGTTAGACACTAGTTCAACCATATCGATCCCTGTCTCATTTGCAGATACGCCTCTACCTATCAAAAAACAAAGGAGTATCTTCAGAAGAAAAATCAACTTTACAATCGAAATTAATAGAACCTAACAAAGCTTCAATATGGCGAGGCCTGATCATTCCTTAATTTCAAGCTAGGCCACAGAATAAGTGCTATTGTTCCCGCCAAAAGAATCAAACTAGCTCATAAGGTACGAGATGAGGCTCATCCCAAGGTCAAAACACGGGAGGAAAATAACCCGAACATACGTGTGGTGTGACAACAATGTTCTAGAAAGGTTCTCTTTGTCGAGAGTGCATACGGCTCTACTTAGCATCGGCCGAGACGCGTACGACCTACTCTACGATGCTCCTTTCAGGTCTCAGCCAAAACCACTAAACCTGACGGAGGTGTTTCCTACATGTGCTGGTGTCCAATTGAATCAGACAGCGCATTTTTCGTTGTGCCGCACCTTGGCGTATACCGCGTGCCATACCGATGATGTCAAGATACATGCACAGGGAAATAATTGACCTGCTAGAAATTAAATAAGGTCGTTGCACTGCTCGAATACATGCTGTGTGGTTGGCGGTACATGAGTGTTGATCGCGCAATCAAGGGGTCAATTATAAACATACACAAAACCTATCGGTACTATTGAGTAGGTATCAATATACTTACTTCGCACATTAATTATGTTCGTCTTAACCAGCCAAATTTCAACAATAGATAGCCAGGGCTTATAGGCCGGTCTAGATCTGCTGGCGTCCTCCTAACCTGTTGCGGTCCGTGTCTCTGAGGTGCATGTAAGACTTTTAATTTTCTCCAAATAAGAACTCTATCCGGGCCCTTTGGCATTGATTGCGCATGCGGAATTAACGATGCCATTTCCAGCAAACCAGCGGGCAGCTAGGGAGACCGCATGGGCGAAGAAAGGCCGCATGATGCCCTCTTAACCGCCTGGGAATCTCAAATGACTGACTAATAATGGTGTGAGGTAGTTTCTAAAGCCACATTTTCAAGCTTGTCTGGATATTATGAGGACTAATTAAAACATAGGCTTGTTTTGTCTTGACTCAGTTTCCCCTAGAAAGTACTCATTATAGGCTGGCCCAGGCTATCAATCGAGAGGTAAAATATAGTACTCTATCTATTCAACCTATTACAGTAACTAAGTTATCTGGGATTGAGCTATCTCAATGATCAAAGTGTACCTATTTGTCCTTCAACTTCAAACTAGCATCAGCATGCTCAAAGCAGCGATCAAGAAGCGATAGTACCGGGGGAAGAATTATTCTATCAATCCCTAGAATCAAAAAAGTTTCCATCAACCAGTCCGGCCAACGTTTCCCATTGGAAAATATAGACATACTTATCTCCGATGCACTCTTCCAACAAAAACGCATGGCTTACCGATAAACATGCTACGCTATGACATTTTGGTTGCAACTTCATGGGGCCTCACTCGAATGCCGCTCGGACGGACGCGAATAACGGGTAGATTGTAAATCGGTCACTCACATACAACTAACATGGACACGATACACCATCCTTTTGATCTTTTGGGGGCCAAAGTTAACATTTCTTTGAGGCGACCGGGGAGGTTACAAAGGCCGGACGGCTTCGGATAGGAGGATGGGTCGGGTTGGTAATTAATGGAAAGGAAGAGCCAAGACCAAATTGCAAAAGTTTTAGGTCACCTGCATGGTCGGTTTTTTGTGGTTTTAGTGGTGTACTGTACGGATGGGTTACGCAGACAGACAGGCATGCAAAGGTGGGAACTAGGTGTTCTGCCCGCGGCCAACTAGGAAGGGAGGAACCTCTTGCTTGTGCGTGCCGTGGGCTTGTGCAGATGAATAGTTTCCCCCAATCCTTGCGAAGCCCGAATTCTGGGGTTCGAATGAGAGAGAGAGGGAGAGACCTACCGTTCATGTCTCTTGTCCTAGGTATGCACGCACAGCACTGTTCGTATTGTGAGGTTAGTTGCCCTTCCTTTTTCCACTCCAATAAACAAATAATCTTTTTTGAGGGAATTAGGCTCAACAGGGTAAATCTTTCCGCGGTTCAGTCATTGGAACAATTATCTGTACCTGGCCAGTAGGTTATAAACTGATCGAGTAAAAGGGCTAAATGGAGATATGGAGACAGGCCGGAGCGGAAAGTAGTTATTCTACTCAATCATGGAGGGAGGGAGCATTTTGAATTTCTGAATGCACCAGAGGAAATATCTCAGCCTTGGGTAAGGGTGGATGGATGGATGGCCCGATGATGTTAGCGCTATTGCTGAGAAACGCCATGCGGGGACGGTGTGGGTGGGGTAGATCCGACCGGCATTGCTACGGGTGAGTGGGTGAGTGAGTCAAGAAATGAAGAAATGAAAATGGTCAAGAAGATTTGCGGGTCCATATTTGTTCCGAATGGGTAAGCAAAAAAAGGATTCGGCTGTAGGCACAAAGACCATATTTGGACGAATGGAGAGTGAGTGACAATCTAGGGTTCCTCTTCTACATCTACGGTGAGTGGGATTTCAAATTCTGATGTTTCACGGTTCCGTTCGGACCTATCTTACACTGATGACCTGTCAATAACTATTGGACGGCAAGAATAAGAGGTTTCAGTTACTGAAATCTATCGGCAGGTCGTGCGTAAAATGGGTTGAAGAAGCTCTATGACGAGCACACAGTGATCCCCCGCAAAGTCTTCTTTCTAAGGTAGAGTACTCTATATGGGCTTATGTCGATTTCATGCAAACAGGCAGCAATTGGAAATCAATAAAACGCAATCGTACTTCCCTGCAGCCCTAAATGGCCATCATACTTCTGACTGATTAGGAGAATTTCTTTGCCAATAGTGAGGTAATCTTCAGGGACCATCCATATATCGAATTGTCAGCATTACAGGTTAGAGCCAGCAGGAAAAGGATATTCTGGGGTAGATTACGTCGTCATCGTCACAGTTATGCCAACCTTCTACGGAACATAGCCATGGCCGTAGTCGTACTCCAGATACTGTAAGATAAATGGATAGACTCATTAACGATTCAGATACGTCCGAACAGGTGTCATATCAAGATCTATCAACACCGGGCCGTCGTCAGCCATCAATTCAAGCAATATACCGGCATCAGCGGATAGATACAAAGCTTTTTGGGGGCGCATATACTAGATTTGATACCCAGCGGAGTGGATTTGACGGGTGGCAGGCACACGGATGCATACTCAGCTGGACGATCAGGAAACAACTTCTATAGTTAGTGTTCATTTGGAGCCGGAGTTTGTGTTTTCTTCAGCCCTTTCGTATGTCGGCTATTTGACTAGCTACCTAGTAAACAAAAGGCACATTTGAACGGATCTAACGGCAGTTTACTGAGCCTCTCGATAAAATAAAGTTCCGTATCAACCATGTAATTACTGGGTTCAATTGACAGGGGAAGCTATAACGGTGAAGAGTTTGGGGCTGAGGAATAATTAACGTAGGCTGGAGACGACGCATGATATATTTTAAAGAAGCAAGGTTAGTTAATTAAGTGGTGTGGCTAAGCACTAGTTCTTACACGTAACTGCTAACATGGGGTATTTCGGAGAGAAAGATACAATCCAGCTAAGCGTTTATAAAGATCTATACTGGAATTGAGATCGATCCCACTCAGGTTAACTACTACTGAAGCTCAAAGGTTCGGTTCGCGGTTTATAGTATCTCGGTGAAAGTGCTCGGGCTCCGGGATATCTATAGCTAGCAAGCGAGTACGAGAGCGATTCGATTAAAATTGGGTCTAGAAATAATCCTCGTGACGAACCTCTTATTAATAATCTGGCATGGTGAAAGGAGCTGTGAGATTTAAAAATCCAGACATGAATATCATTACCATATACGATGCGATAAGAGCGTTTTTTTTCAAGGTTTGGCCCCCAGCCTTTGTTGGCAAAAAAGCAACCGCAACCAGGCGGGAAGTAGCAAGCAGGCAAGCGATAATATGTAACTACATGTACCTACACCTACCTAATTCTACGATGGATGATGATATTAAGGAGCGTTTTATCCCCGGTTAAGAGCATAACTTTAAATCTCCGACGAATGTTTTGTCTGTCACTCGAAATCTGCGGCAGCTTAGTCATTTACCCTCTGCCCCTGCCACTAGTTGATGACACTAGCCCGTAATGGTGCCAAGTCAAGCTTTTCATAGCAAGCCGCTTTGTTCCAAGTTCAGAATCTCGGGCAAGCCAGAGGACCGTGTCCCCCACTCTTTGACTCTCAATTCATGCCAGTTTCATGGCATCGGTTAATTAGGCTTGGTATGTGTTAATTTTGGGGCTGCGTTAATCTCCTAAAGATGGCGTTCAGTTATGTGTGTCTACTGTTTACTGATCAAGTCTTATGTCTTGCCGAACGTGGGGTGTCTCGCCGTGAGTACGTACCACTCTTGGGTACTGGGCTGGCTGGGCACGCTAGAGTACTGTATTGACGCCTGCTTCCTCTGCTGCCTTCCTGCTTCTAGCTCACCTGCTGCACAAGTTAATTCCCGGCCACGGTCATGTTGGTTGGCACTGTAGGTACATGCCCTGATAAAGAGTAGAATACCGGATTGGAATGTAGGGGTGGCTGAACCAACTTCTATGTAAGCTGCTGTCTACCACCCTATCGATGTTCTCAAAATACCTGACTCTACATGCATACCGATACTCGAGGCCAAGACATTGCAAAAGAATCAGGCCAAACAATTAAACTAGTGGGGTAAGAAAGGTGTTAAGGTATTTACTTTATGATAGAGCAGGTACATTACTACTACTACATCTTTACCCACCAGGCCCCCACCCCCTCCTTCCTCTTCCTCTCTCACCCCTTCCCATCATGGCCTGCTTGGAGATGATGGAAGGTTGGTTGCATATGGTATGCGCAGAGCAGGAAACTAGGCTTGACTAAATATGGTTAGGCCCCACACCGGAATTCGGGTACCAGATTTCGAAAATCTTGAGTCTAGGCATCTATGTAGGTAGAGACGTACCAAGTACATACATGTAAGTGCGGTAGAGTACTACATATGTATGCTCTAGATAAAGTACAGTCGCAACTCGATATGATTTCGTACGGGATAGCAAGGGATCCGGCGTATTGAGATCCGGCATATTGAGTTGCGACTGTACATGTAGGTATTATGGGTTGTCAAAATTATCCGGACGTTCGCGTCGCAACCACACAGATTAGCTAGAATGACCGATTTTTGAAACCATTTCAATTGACTTCATATTAAAGCTTAAGATAATAGAGGTATAAGAAATCACAGAAATCAAATCTCTTGTACTCTTTCCTTGTGGTTGTGGAAAAAGGCGACGTTGAAATTGAAAATTTGGTTGCAACAATGTTCGGATAATTTTGTCAACCCGTAATACATATACTTTAACTAGGCCAGGTAAGGTATGCTGTACTTCGCCCCGTCGTACTGCCTTAAGGTAGTCGACTAGTCTTGCTATGTTTCTTCTTATTGGCTTGTGAATCAAATATCATATGAGAGCTTGATATAGGCCTCTTTGGGTATAATGAGTACCCAACAGTATATTCATCCTCCTTCGTGCATATCTGCTACCCAAAACGACCAGAAAGCAACCTACACTTGTCACCGGTTGACATAGGCAAGTCTCTCTGGCCGATAAAATATATTACCGATAAGCAAGAACGCAAGGTCTCCCTCAATATGCCGGGCTAACGCATGCAACGTGCCCGCCCGCCGGCTCAGAATCACTCGCTCGTTCGTCAGGCTCATGACCTGAGGTTCGGAGTCCGATGCCGGCACATAGAGTAGGTACAATACCTACATTCTGAGAATCTTACCTTCCAGCTTACCTTACATACCTAGAATACTCTGTCATTGACAGACACAAAAACCCTCACTATGAGTGAGTGAGAACTCTTATACCATCCCTAATCAGGGAGATAGATGTAACGATGGGCCATGGTGTTTAAACGGGCTTCCGTGTGTTTAACTCCGAGTCCCATCGCCGGTTCCCCCCCCAAAAAAAATCTCCCCCGTCTAGAGTAGTTGATCCTTGCTTGAACGAACCCCAGGACGAAACCCTCACCTGTTCTTGTCCCAATCGACAAGAAACTTACATACTGTATGTATTTCCGTAATTCCTTTTTTAGCAAGTCTAGCAGCAGGGATTATTTGGAATACAGTACCTGCTAACTGAAGAAAAGCGCATCTGTTGACTCCTACTGGAATCCGATTTTCGCTGGAGCTTTTTTTCTCGCTTCCCTGCAAAACTGAGCTCATAATCACCCCGACGCCGTGTCCTCCCCCCCCCCCCCCCCCCCCCACTACTACTGTTCCCCCAGCTAGCTAAAAACCTCCTCCAGGAAGAGTACGGATCGATTTTGTAAGCAGGGCTGAGATTGACTCAGCGGTATACAAGCCTTTTTGGCACTAGGGGCCCCCGTAACCATCAGCTTACCTACATCGGACATTAGTAACTTATACCCTCCATTTACACCCATGGTCATCCATCCATCCATCCTTTCTCATCCATCCTGCAACGGGTAGTCAGAGCATCAGTCTAAAGCTGGGCACACCACCCCCCCTCTTCTCTCCAATAATAAAAAATAAAATAAAAATAAAAATAAAAGTGGAGCTACTCACTCACATGCGATGTGGGTAGGCAGGTAAGTGGTGTCTCAAATCGAAGAGAGGACGGCGACGGAAACTTATTTTCAAGCAGCTCTTCTGGAAGCCCCTGGCGCACGGGAAGGGATCCAGATCTGCTGTGGAACCCACTCGACAGAAGCCGAGCTACCCGCACACTCGTGATTGGGATCTGCTTCTCAAATCACATTTTTTGCAATGGGGTTCAGCCCAAAAGCCACTTGCGTGGTGGTCGATTTGAGTCCAGTTTTCCCGAGTGTACATTTCGGAGAGTGAAAGTGCGAAAGGGTAGGTGTGGTGAAAGAGGTAGCTTTTTCTTTTCTCCACATGGATGATTGTAGTTGACTGTTTTGCTAAGGGATTTCTATATCCTCAAACTCGAGCGTTAGGGGAAAACAAGCATAACCATGAAGTCTTTTGAATGGGATTGACCTCAAAGTTATTTAGTCCCATCCATTCCTGAACTGTCCAATAATTAATCCCTACCTACATACCTACCGTACCGTACCGGCACACCCCCATCCCTCTTCCCTTCAAAGTGCCGAGAGAAACCCTTCATACGACTGTTCAAAGCTAGGTAGACTCATGGCCACAATTGTGTATCTATATTCAAGCGCTTCGAGGCGAGGTCTAGGTAGCTAGTTGCGTCATTGCTCTAGTTGTAGTTATGTTGCCCAGGGGGGTTTGAAAAATGTAGTTGCAAGGACCCCCGAAGGATTCTACTACGTGTACCAAGCAATCGAGGGCCTGGGAGATATAAAAGAACTCATCCTCATCTTCCCTGGCAGAAAATGCTGCACAAGCACAGCACCCCGGAGCCGGATGCAAGCGCAGCCGTTGGGAAGAAGACGAGAAGAAGAAGCAGAAGAAGCAGAAGAAGAAGAAAGCACCGGTATCTGAACTCGGGCTCGTAAAAAAGGGAAGAACAAGGAAAAACGTTATACCAAAGGAATATATCATCAGCAAGCAGCAGTTACGGCTACGAACTCTTGGTCATTGGTGGTTGTTGATATATAGCAAGCCCTGTTTTTTTTGTTTTTTTTAGCAGCAGCTACTATCACTACACTACGTACGATAACCAGCAATCCGTATTACTATTACTATTATTATATTATCACAGCCCTTTTCCCTTCCCTTACTTCCGACTATTACTACCGCTACTTCTGCTACTTCTACTACCTTTACCACTCGAGCTTTTTCGGGACTCCGTATGGAAAACCAACACAGCACACAGTCGGAACTACGCCATTCCTTCGTCCCCAACTTCGCTCCGATTTCCCGGGAAGACCGTATGATGTCCCCCGCCGGCAATTCAGTTCATCCGACTCCGGTGCACCCCCAATATCTGCACCAGCCGCGGCAGCAGCAGCAACAAAGCAGCTTACCAGGCACCCCACAGCACTCTTCGGCCCACCACAGTGCCTCGAGTTCTCCATATCATTCCTCGTTCCCCATGAATAGGATCAACACCTCCACCGAACAGCAGCAGCAGCAGCAACAGCAGCAGCAGCATCCGAGCCCAGCTCCATACCCGCACTCTATGCCGCCCTCTAGAAACTCTTCACACCCCGCCTCCGGACCTTCTGGTGGTGGGTACCTGGACCCTACGACGTATCTTAACATGAGCGATGTCATGGGCATGGGAATGGAACCGCTACCGATGGGTGGTACCATGGGTGGTAATATGGATATGGACCTGAGCATCCTCTCGGCGGAGGAGCACGGGGATCTAAAGATTTTAGAAGAGCGGGAGAGAATGCGACGGATGCAGGCCTCCCAACACGAGTACCAGATGGGTGGACGCAGAGGGGACGATCTAAAGGGACGAAGCGCCGGCGTGGGACGAGGGCGGAAGAGGGCTGGCAGTGATGATAGCGGTCATGATCCTACCCCGGTTGCCAGAGGTGGTCCTGGCGGAAGCAGTAATAGGAAGCAGAGAGGTCGGCCGAGATTGGATACGAAGGATGAGAATGCTGCAGATGTATGTATCCATTTACTACCTCCCCTTCTTACTTTCCCGCGACTTTTGTTTCTAACAGAAGGGAATTGTAGCGTCGGCGTACTCAGATCAGGCTCGCTCAACGAGCTTACCGTCTTCGCAAGGAGACTACGATATCGTCTTTACGGAATCGAGTCAATGAGCTAGAGACTGCTATTGACGGGATGCAGACTACGTTTCTGGAGCTACACGACTCGGCCATGAGCTGTCTGAGCAAGAACCCAGATGTCTCCAGTGCCGGCTTTGGTAGCAACCTCAAGCAACTCACCGAGAAGTTCCTCGGACTAGCCAAGGAAGCACTCGGGAGCTCCGAGGGTGCGGAGACCGGCGACGAGGATGCAGAAGGTGAGAGTATAAACGAGGATGACGGCAATGGCAATGCTAGGTCCAAACGACGGCGCAGTAGAGACGATGGGAGCCCTGGGTCTGGCGGTGGGGGTGGGGGTATGCAGGCTAGTGGTGGAAGCGGTTCTGTGCCTAGTTTTGGAGGTTACCAAGTCAGCTATTCTAGAGAAAATGGTAACAGCCGTGGCTCAAGAAGTTCCTACGATAACAATGGGAACAGCCAAAACCGTAGTGCAGGGGCAGGAGCAGAGGCAGCAGGTAGTGGAGCTAGCGGCAGAAGCAATACTATGACTACAAGTTCTTCCTTTTCGTTGGGTTCCTACAATCGAGAGCATGGGCTGTACTCACCTAGCTCTTCAGAAAGTGCATATATGGGTGGTCTTTTACAATCCTCTTCTTCCACATCTTCTGCAATGCTTGATCCAGCACCAAGTACCACATACAAACAGGACATTCCAGCCGGGCTAGAGTCATTCAGTTACTCTTTCCATGAGACAAACTTCTCCCGCCGCCTGCACCGTGCTGGACTTGAATACGCACACCTGATGCTTACTTCTCCCAACGCTGACCAATATGAGGTTGCCAGACTATTCGCTTACACCTTTTGCTATACATCCAGGGAGGATGCATTGGAATGTATCACAAAGCTACTACAGATTGGCCCCAAGGACAGTCTGGACCTCAGTGAACACCCCGAGATCCGACCGCTTCCGAGAAAGCCTCTGGATTACACGGAATCAATGCAGAGTTACGAAGCGGAGCGAGCTGGCAGACAAGTACAAGAGCCCAGGAATAGGGAAGAGTTCAATATGCGCGAGGAAGCAAACAAGATGCTCATCAAGCTCGGAATACACCAGAAATATCTTAGGCCAGACGAGGTAGAACAATACATCACCAATCTGGGGATCCTAACATCAACTACCGCGGCAGCCGATACATTGAACAACGCCGGCGCCGACTTGATGGAGATGGAGGTCGAATCGGAACACTCCCGACAGGCGTCTCCGAGCTTGGCACAACCACCTCAGACCCTGAGGCCTAGAAGCCCCCCCAGACGCCTCCCGCTCGGACGGCGAACGCGAACCAGACGCAGGGCGGTCTCACTTCCGCTACCGTGATGTCATTGGACTATTTCCAGCCACAGGCGATGAGAACCCCTGAGGACCAGGTCAACTATCAAGTGAGACAGTTCGAGAAGAATCATTCTTCGCCTGCGGGTGCCAATGAGATTGATAACGAAGCATCCATCAAGGTTCTTGAGGGTGTGAAGAAGCAGGTGGACCTAGACATGTTTATTAAACGTAAGTTTCACATTGCCAAACATTGCCTATAAATATTCACTAATGATCTCCGTGCAGAATTGATTCCACGTGGTGTGTGCCTGGGACGGTTCCCTGGATTCAAAAAATCGGATGTCGAAGCAGCAATCTCCCTCGCTACTGTGGCACCAGTGTACTAATTTGACTCGACCCAATTATTCTGATGCTAATGAGGCGGTGGTGGAAGAACGTGGCGGTTATTGATAAGATACATATTTTATTTTTCATTTTTCCTAGGGGTAAACTTCTTTTTTCGTTTTATATACAGGGTTGTGTGTTTGGAAGAAAGAAAAAAACGGGCTTCTCTACTCTACTCCTTTTTCATTGGTCGTCTTTTTCTCGGTTTGTTTTTTTCCTTTTTGGTTTGGTACGGACCGGTATTATTAGTCTTAGGCGTTGCAATGGCATGAGTTGGTAGGAATAGGGGTCGACAGGGCTTTTTTTGTAGATATATATGTTTGACGCAAAGATTTTGTTTGAATATCATTAGGGTAGTTACGAATTGCTGGCTTAGTGCGGGTTTGGTCTCGGATTTGGGGCAAAGTGTTATAGGTAGGAAAAGGAAAAACGAAGCATAAGGGGAAATGTCTGGAAGATGTGGATGGGACAGAAGAATATATAGACCGTGTCATTTGAGGAACAAGCTTGCGCCATGCAACCACCCCTTTCTTTATCCCTTCCCTGGTGCCCCACTTTCAACAAGGCAAAAGATGATTAATATTGGGATGGAAGAATAATCTACATTGCATTACGTTTTGCTTTTCGGCATCACCGAGAATTGACGATTAGTGATTTCTCGTGGCCATGGATAAATAAACAATTTAAGGTTTGGTGCCGCAGATGATCGTACGGGTATGCACGTTTGACACGTTGATTACTGCTAAATTCTCCGACCCACGTTTCCATGTATGGTTACACGTCAACGTCATGCAAGCGGTTGGTGGAGGTGATGTGAAGGTAGGGGGGGGGCGATTTTCAAAACTATTGTCATGATATCCGTGATATGCACAATTTGTGGATTACTCAATATCTATAGTGTATGTGGCATAATATGTGTGGCCGCCGGCTTTGAGGTTGTAGTCATAATAGAAAGACCTTATTGTGTGGAGAAACCCAGGGTTCGATTACGTCCCATGAATCTGGCTACATGTAATATTATCGACCCATCAAAGGCGGTGTGAAAGTGCATATAATTGATCATGATTGACCCCACAGATACGTAAAAATCTAAGTGCGATATGGCTACTACCGAATCGGACACCCCCACGTTAGTAGTATTTAGCAGTACCGGCAAGTCCCGTTGAAGTGATATCATAACTCCACAACAATCATTACTAGCTAGATAATCGAGATAATCTAATCAGATTCCCACCAACCCCAAGTAATACAAAACCAACAAACGTCTTCTTTCTATTGCACTACCAATAATTATGATAGGAACGAGTAGACGAACTGATTAGTGATAACAGTAATAGCTTTGAAGACTTGAGTGCTTAGAGCAAATAGATTCAGCCACAGATGCATCGACTAAGGTCAATGACACGGCAAGATCGTATTATTTATAGAAATTTAAGTTATAAATGTTCTTATAATTCTATATCTGGCTTATGGAGTAAGAGGTATCTTGTTACTGTATCATAATCATAACCGTAGGTAGGGTTGTTTCCTGAATCATGAATTATCACTCGATACAATCTCCAATTGAGAAACCCATTCTGTATTTGAAAGTCCTAGAAGATAGATTTACACTCTAATCAATTCAAAAAATAAAGTTAGAGTTTTGACAGCGAAGGTGATCAGATTAAACAACAATACATAGTCCATCGATCAAACTATTAATGTGAATGTTAACTCTGAGACTTTATTTCTTTTCTCTGCGCCAGTTTAAACGTGAATGTAGCTCATCTCCTAATATGGATCAACAAAATTGCAAAGCTGCTCGGATCTTGGGTATATACTTGCAGTCTATTATAATCTTCCGTATGTGGTTGTCCGGGTGCACACACGTATACGTAAGTCACGTTTGGACATGAGATCTCACTCGGACTTATTTGGGTTAGCAAGAGTATTAGTATTAATAATATTAATAATAATGTCTCAAACTCTCATTTAACTTGTAGGCTAAGGCGAAGTTTAATGTATTTTTTAAACTCTATTTAGGTGTTGCAACCAGTGTGGTCCACAAAGCGCATGGAGGCGAGGAAGACGGGGTATATCAAGTTGCCTCTCCCTCTGAGGAGACCTCCTTTGTGTTGCCTCGAGCCATATATAGCAATAAGTAATAAGTGATGGAACACCCTGAGAGTACAAACACCAAATGTTGGTGGCGTTTTACCAAAACAGGTATTGCTCTGTTCCATCACTTATTACCTACCACTGTACACCTATGCCTTGAGCTGTCTCGATGCTCCTCGAGGTAGGTCTTGGCAGTGTGTTCTCAATAGTTCTGATCTGGTTCGATCGCCTGGGATGTATATTACACGAGTATCCCTATTCTGGCAGCTTGAAGAGCATGTATTGAGTTGACTCGGGCCAGCTCGAGTCGAGGAATATGCCATGTATCGAGGTGCTTCGGCCTCATTGAAGGGTATACCTTGTGTCACCTCGAGGCATTTGCCCCGAGGCGAGGCACGAAGTGCTTCGCCATCGTGGACCACACTGGTTGCAACAAATAAGGAAATTGTTTAAAATATAAGTGACGCGGAGATGGGTGGGGCTCGATCGAATACAGGACGCACCCGCGCGCGGCGCGCGCGGAGTATATGGTTTTTTGGGACACGGGGTTCGATGGTAAGGGGATTAGGATTAATACGACTGTTTAACATGCTAGTATCAACCAGTGTGGTCCACGAGGACGAGCGTCCTTGTGTCCTTGCCTCGAGGGTAGGTCCTCAATGACACGCAAGGACAGTGGTCCAAAAGGACAATGAACCTCGAGGACAATATCTGACCTCGCCTCGAGGACTTCCAAGGACAATTCTTGGCTATAATACACACTTAATATGCCCTAATTGGATGAGGTCATGAATAAAGTATACCTTCATTTTGAGAAATATCACCTTTTTGGTTTACCGGGTCATCGCTTTATCGTCCTCGAGGACCACAGTCCCGGACCTCGAGGACAGACAAGGACAGAGGTCAATGAGGACGAGGCACCTCAAGGACACCCCCAAACCTCGCCTCGAGCATCCTCGTGGACCACACTAGTATCAACATGTTGGTAGAATAAATGAATATCGTCCATTGAAACTTTTCTGGCATAATCTATTAGAAAAACAAAGTTTATGTTACCAGTAGAAAAGCACTAGCCAACCAGCAATCGACATGCATAGAATATTTACGTTTTCGGGAATTGGAAACCGTTGAATGAGAATTACGGTCCTGTGAGAGTCTTGGTTTTCTTGTTTTGACTTTATTACCCGACTAAGCGTCAAACAGGAAGTTAATACTGGCTTATCCATGTCTGATAGCGGCCAAAAATTACAAGTATAACGGGCCTTGGCATAGGTCGTCCTGTTATAAATATGCAGTCCCCCCACCTCTTTAAACCCCATGGTGTTGCTTTTTTGCAGGTCGCCAGCTGCAGCTGGGACGTACGTCTGGATAAATTGACTTAAAAAGACAAAAGAAAATACAACTTCAAGAGATATTTATACTCACATGCATCACAAGAGGTACTAGTCTCATGCAGTGGAAAGTTATCCTATATGCCATGTCAATCACATACAGTCACTTGATATATTAATATATTTAGCTATAGTAAGAATACATCAAATTACCCAGTATACTCTAGGATGTTTCAAATTTTAACTTTTGAAACTTTTAGATATATGGATGTATCGCAGGCGTTGGGTGGAGATATTCTGCTGGTCCGGTATATATGGAGCCTAGTAGTGGCATCATGTCGTGGTTATAGGCGGAAAAGCCCTAGTCAGACTATTATTTCAAGCAACTAAACTACATGTACTAACATATGACATAAAAAAAGGCACATATGAGAACACATATGGTAGAAATTTGTATACATATACGATACTACGTATCTCGATACCGTACTCCTCAGCTCAGGCACATCGATCGCCCTTCCAACCCACTTCTCTAAATTACCTCCGCCACACGGAAAAATTATTGGTGTAACTGTCTCATGCCAAGTTTTGCTGTAAACCGGTTACAAGTTTAAGAAGTCAGGGGGAAATCACGAACCAAAGATCAAGCACAACCACCACATAATGCTCGGGAACACCCATTTTCATCCCCGGTTCACAGCATACGCCATCAAATAGAAAACATGGAGAAAAAGATATTCGCCTATCTGACTATACTATCGGGACCTTTAATTCCGAAGGCACCGATTTAGGCAGTGGAGTTGATGATCCTTGTCTGCAAACTTCAGGCAATACTCTATTCCCCGGATTTGCCTCTCGAACCATGCAGCCGAATCGCTCTACATTGTCAACCACACCGAGTTCCCGGGTTTTATGAGAAAAATAATAACCATAGTTTCCCCGCATTGACTATCCGTTATATCTTGTGCGTCGGAATGGTCCACCTTCTACTCCGACAAAGATTAAATCCGTTTAATATATAGCCGCCAATGGTCCAACGTACCTTTCTGTGGCAGTAAATGCCTGATGATAGATGTACCCGGGAGTGCCTGAATCTAAAAACCCGGCAATTAAAGTGGCGGGGGTGATCTACAGGCCATATTTAAGCTCCGCTCCCGCAAAGCTAAATGACGGATATCTTGAATTCTGTCTCAGAATTCTCATACCTAGATAGGGGTTATTTAACTATAACTCGAGTTGAACAGGAGACGTTATTTTAAGATGTTCACGCATCTCCTCTTTCTCGCCACTTCACTCGGCACTGTGTCCGCAGCTCGAGAACTATGGTTTAACCAGCCTGCATGGGATTGGGCTTCTCAAGCGTTGCCGATTGGTAACGGGAAACATGCTGGTGAGTTTTGAATACAGTACGTTGCCAAGAAATCATCACTAAATCTTCTAATTTGATATAGCTTCTTTCTTTGGCGGTATCAACAACGACTCTTGGGCCCTCAATTCTGATAGTCTCTGGACTGGTGGCCCTTTCCAGCTAAAGGTATACAATATCATTGATCTATCCGAGTCCAATACTAAGAGGAGAATACAACAGAACTACACCGGTGGTAATCCTGCAGAATCACGTGTACCGGCACTCCGTGGAATACAAGACTTTATCTTTAAGAACGGCACTGGGAGTATGCCTACCATGTCAGGCGTCCCGATCTTACTATTGAATCTACTGACATAAATTTGTAGGTATCGCTGGTATCCTAGGTAGCGACGCAGGTTATGGAAGCTATAGTGTGCTCGGGAATCTGTCCGTTGGCCTTGACCTGGACGCCGCCACTGCCAGCTCGTACAAACTCTGGCTTGATATTGACCGTGGAGTGGGTGGAAGTTCTTTTGTTACTGAGAAGTATGGCAAGATCACAAGGTAAGTCACTCCCTTCTGCTCTATTGTGCTCCAACTTATATTATGTAGGGATTACTTCTGCTCCTTCCCTGCGCAAGCCTGTATCTACCACCTTGAGTCCACTAAACCTCTCCCCACCGTTACAGTATCCCTTGGTTCCACTCGATCTCCAGCGCCCACAATAACCACTGCTTCGAACACCATTACACTCCGTGGCCTCGCTGAATCTCCTGATGGCATGCTTTATGACGCCCGCGCCGCCATTGTATTCCCTGGAACCGCACAGAAAGGCAAAGACTTCACCACGTCTACCGGGCTCTCAGTCCCTGCTACTGCTGGTGTAAAAGAGCTATGGATTGTTCTCTCAATGGATACGAACTACGATGAAACCAAGGGAAACCCTTCTGATGGTTACACATTCCAGGGAATTGACCCCGCCAAAAAGGTGGCGGGCAATGTTGCTGCTGCTGCGTCTAAGAGTTATAACGCGTTGCTAGCAGAGCATATAAAGGACCACCAGGCACTCTACCGCGCCTTCTCTCTGACACTGCCAGATCCTCTAGGTTCAGCCTCAAAAGCTACAGATGAGCTCATGAAAGCCTACACACTTGATAAGGGAGATCCATACCTTGAGTCACTTCTTTTCGATTTCGGACGATACCTCCTCATCGGCTCTAGTAGACCAAATTCATTACCTCCTAATTTGCAAGGAAAGTGGTCGAATGGCTTTGGGGCTGCTTGGTCAGGCGATTATCATACCAATATCAACCTGCAAATGAATGTCTGGGGTAGTGAGGCAACTGGACTAGGCGGTACTCTTGACGGATTATGGAGATATATGACAGAAACATGGGTGCCAAGAGGTTCCGAGACTGCAAGCTTGCTTTATGGGGCTACTGAAGGTTGGGTGGTTCATAATGAAATTAATACCTTTGGGCATACAGGGTGAGTTGAACCCTAACCCTTGAAACACTTATTTACGAGTTGTGGTTAATTAAGAGATAGATTGAAAGGAAATGGCGATCAGAGTACAGCGCTTTGGTTTGCGTACTCGGCTGCTAACGCGTGGATGAGTATGTTCTCCATGCTACGGAAGGGTAAATGATTGTTCTGACTGGTAATAGTGCAACACGTATGGGACCACTACGATTTCACGGGCGATAAGGACTGGTATAAGAGCGTTGGATATCCCCTCATTAAGGGTGTTGCACAGTTCCACTTATCGACCCTGCTGGAGGATAAGTATTATAATGACGGGACACTAGTGGTCAATCCGTGCAATTCACCGGAACAGCCGCCGTCGACGTTTGGGTGTGCGATTGATCAACAGCAGATTTCGGAAGTGTTTATGAATGTATTAAAGGGATGGGACGCATCAGGAGATAAAGACTTAGCATTTAAGAAGAGGGTAGAGGATGCACTGAGCAAGTTATACACGGGCATCAGAGTGGGACGGTATGGGCAGATTCAAGGTAGAGAAACCCTCTCCTATGCTGTCAATGATATTCGTAGAAATTCACATATTAACTCTAACCTAGAATGGAAACTCGACATCGATAACCCAGAAGACGGTCACCGCCATCTTTCTCACCTCTATGGCTGGTACCCGTATGTCTCTCTATCTGACGTTCTCCCACCCAGAACTAACTTATTCCTTTCCAGTGGCTATTCAATCTCCTCTGTCCACCGGGAAAATACCACGATCACTAAAGCCGTCGAAACAACCCTAATCCACCGCGGCCTCGGAAAATGGACCGACGCCAACGCAGGCTGGGAAAAGGTCTGGCGTGGCGCCTGCTGGGCTGGTCTTAACAATTCCACCATGTCTTATTATGAGCTGCGCTTTGCCATTGTTGAGAACTTTGCCAACAATTTGTACTCAGTGTACAGCAAAGACCCCTCTACGATTGGAACCTGGGTATTTCAGATTGATGCCAACTTTGGAACTGTGGGCCAAGTTCTGCATATGTTTGTTCATGATCTGGATGTCGGGTATGGGCAGAGCGGAGAGAAGACAGTGGTGTTGGCACCCGCTGTTCCTGAGGCTTGGTGGGGTTCCAAGATTGAGGGACACAGGTTGAGGGGAGGTGGTGAGGTTAGTTTTGAGGTTTCCGGGGAGGGAAAGGTGAAGAGTGTTGTTCTGAAGAGTAGGAAGTCGAGCGCACCAAAGCTAAAGTTTGTGGATGCAACCGGGAAGGAACTAGAGGTTAAGAGATCGTAGGGCACGATTTTAAAACCGGGAAAGAGGGAAAAATTACTTGGAGAGTAACAAGATGGGAGGTACTTAGATAAATAAGTGTAAATAGTTGCCGTGCTATGATTGACGGCTCACCGCTGATCCAGACAACGCCGATCATGTGATATCACCAATGTCTTGGCCCATTTCAAGAGTGACGGTTCATGACGTAACACCAAGCTCACTGTGAATTCGCATTTATAAGTAGCCTCAAATTTCTACTATTCAACCTAGAAATTCATCCAATACTCTTATATGAAAACAGTAACAATCCTACTTTAACGCAACCGCAAAAACACAAAAACACCATGTCTGATAACAGCTCCACCATTCACCCCAAGAAGAACGCCCCTCCAGCAACCCTATCCGATTTCATCGCGGAGGGCAAGAAGCCCGACTACAACACCCGCGGATCCAAGAACATGGGTCAAGGTGACGTTGAGGAAAAGAGCGCTTTCGACCATTCCGCGCCTTTAGCTCAGGGAAAAGGACGTGAGGGTATGGAGGCGAACAACGAGACAAGGGGAACGAAGATGCAGAAGGGAAGCGGAATGGAGAACACGTTGGTGGCCCTTTTTCTTAGTTCTATTTTTGGGGGCCAGATTTGGCCATTTGTTCCTCCTAGTCACTCCTGGGAACATGTTGTGATTAGTGAAACTTTATTGAGACTAGATTGAGCTAACTTGATAATTGGGGGTAGTGGTTGAGCCAGTCAATTGAAGATGGTTCCTGCGGAACTTACATTAGTTTCTTTTGGGTTTTAGGGATATTTTGGAGGGGCGATATGTACTTATAGTTTGAAATGCTCAAGGAAGCCTTACAATATGGTTAGATGTCGGCGTAATTGTGATAATTTTTATTCTTGATGCAGGAATAGAAAATGGATGGATCCATCCAGAACAGCGCTAGAATTCAAAATGTAGATGGTCGTTGTCGTTGTTGCAAAGAACTTGCGCTACTGGAATAGGATCAGGTCTAGCTTGCTACACCAGTCTATCAGCGTGTCAGTGATACTAACAGCCAAGCGCTTGTTCAACACCTCCAGTCCAGTATTGCGCAGCCCATCATTCCAATTGCATGCCTTCTCCATCGTACTCCTTAATCTGGCTGACTCCGTACATATCCGACGTTGCAAAACAAAGCTGACATTTTCATTTCCGTAGGATATCGTCTCGTGAGTGAGACGACTCGAATAAGCTAACCCCCAATATGTTTACGCGTGTTGTACCTATTTCTGAAACTCAAACACTACCGTACAGCAACAACCCCACGTAACTGTACTGTATGTGCATCACGATATCACGCCATCTCGCCAATCAACCATGGTCTGTCTAATAAAAATAAAGCGAAGATCGGATCAAAGGCTGTTTCAAGAACGAAGATATGAAAGAAAAAAAAAACGTTATTAGATTTTTTTTCCCTTTTTTCCTTTTCGTTTCTTTTTTTTCTTTCATGTTTCATAGACGGGCCTGCGAGCCTTTGCAGGGACCGTGTTCTATTTTGATATCTTGTCGGAGATATCGCGACGTTTTTCCGTCTGGATGTCTCCAGTTTCGAGTGGGAGATCGATCTAGGGCCTCGTTACGTATGTCCCTCTTTAAATTCCCTGATATTTAATTAGGGTTTATGCGATGACTTGCCATGGCTGGCTGGCGGCAGGCATGGCAGGCTCCGATGTTGTGTGTGCCCCTGCAGATCAGGAGGGGGCGGATAAGGAGAGTAGATTGGATAGATGCATGGAACTCAGTGCATCTCAACAACGTTGAAATTCTAATGCTGATTGTGGTGGTGGTAGTAGTGATTGTGGTGATGGTGGTGGCAGCTGTGGTGCAGGGATCAAGCATTGTCCGTGTATATGGTATTTATATCCACCCAGGTAGAGACAAAAACCCGTTGTTTGTGCCCACCATCCGATATGTCATCCTATATTAATTAGGAGGCCGGGTGCGTTTTTGCATTAATACTTCGGTACGCATAGGCTGCCCCGCGACATCGCTAATCCGGGATGCTGAATATCTCTCCGAGACGGTCAGGTTGATATTCACGGGGATATGTTTCTTTCCAGAACAGTCTGCCTGACCTGATATATTGCTCTGGCCAAGCAATCAATCAATCACCTACCCCCCCACCCCCCCACCGCTATATGTAGGTAGGTGTCAGTGCATCATGTTTGATCACTCGCGGGGAAGAACTAGTGCAGTTCCCGAGTGATTAAATTGACTGTGATGCCATGGACATTGGCAGAGGGGGATCGCCCACATCTAGACGGTTCCGAAAGTCTTGTTTGTATGACGCGGGTGACAAGACAAGCTCGCGCTGGTGTCTGACCTGCATTGAGAACGAGGTAACAATGTACCTCATATGCCGCTGTCTGTCCATCCCGTAACGTAAACCGTAACCAAGCGATCCCCCTCCTTCCATCTATGTACTCCAGGCTTCTAGCATCTCAGGCCCGGGCCCAAATGCAGTCTAGTCGTTCCGAATTGATTGTATCCGACTGTTGTGAAACCGGTTCAATTTAGGAGTTATGTAGAGTTGTCACGGAGATGAGGGGTTGCATAGCTGCAGCAGCTGGCTACATAGCAGCACAGGAAGAATGGATCCTACAAGGTGTAGTTACAGACATGGAGGTTAACGGTGAATTTAAATAGATAGCCCTAAGCCCTAGTGGTGTGTGGGGGCTGGCTGGAGGAACAACCTGCGGAATCTTCCATGGGGGCTCTTCTGGGGTTTCGAACTTCGCGATGCTCCTCCACGCTCGCATTACGTTTCCATAAAGGGACAAGGACCGGTCAGGTTGTTATTACTTTGCATAGAACCTCATGTACCGGTATCTATTTAAGCCTTCCAACCCTGCTTTCCTCTAATATCCACTATCAGTACTATCATCTCTATAATCTGTGCAGATCAACTTGCTAGGAGATGAGATATTATATCTTCAGCTACCAGTTATCATGAGCTGCGCTGCATGTAGTTAATTGCCGTGATTCTGTCATAGTACTCCCCGATAATTCAAATAGTGATCCAGTTTTTGAATAGAAAGCTCCCTGCGAGCAATTTTCAAATCACTAAATTAACTCCCGCAGCCTCGCTCGTCCAAGGGTGCGGCACTGCGCGCACCAATTTACGTCGATCCGCAACGGTCGGTGCGGGAAAAATCTCCGACCGGCCACCACGCTCTCCCCGCTGGCTACTCCGATTGGCCATCGTCGACCAGAGTAATGATGACTTCGCCGCACCTTCATCATCTCTTTTCCAACGGGGGGCAATGAAAGAAGGGACAAGTGAAGGAAAGAGAGAGAGAGAGAAAGTCGACCCACTTACTCTACTTACTTGCAACTTAGTCTAGGACCTTGCCCTTCGTTATCGCCTTTGTCGGCTTACGATTCCGGTTCAACCCCACATTTCTAGAGCATATCTGCTCTCCTCCAAAGGTACAGGGCCTGCAAGCCTGCCTGCCCTTGCATTTCTTGGCTACTTACTACTCAACGAACGAACAAAACGTTCTCCGCGATAATCCCCAAATCTACACCCCACGCCGCCCTCAATTAAACGCGTTGAAAGGTACCTCCGCAGAGAGAGGGAGAGAGGATCGCCACAACTATCTCGGGATAAGCTTTCTGCTTACGGTCCAGAAAGGGAGATACTTCCTTCCGAATTCCCTTTAAGGACAGAGGACAGCAGCAGCAGCAGCAACGTTCTCCCGGGGGGGTAACTATCCCGCGCAGACACGCGAGAATTCGCGCGAATTATTAAGCAGAGGAGCGGAGTTGACTTCAGTGATTCATTGTGATAGCTGTCTTGTCTTGTCTGTCTGTCTGTGCCCTGTCAGACATCAGTACAACATATAATCCATCTTCCCATTCCCCCTTCAATTGTGGGGCAAGGAACTATCGCGACTTTTGCCGCAACACCACATCCATCACTCGGCCCCCCATTGTGGCGGCGCAGAAAAAGACATCGGGTTCCTGCCAAGCTTGTGGAAATCCGTGCGCTGCACTCCTTAAGCTGACTTCTTCGTCCCGACAGTCCGTAATTTGACCGCCGCCGTGCCCAGTTTCCATCCCATCCCACCTTTTTTTCTTCCCCATTTTCTTTTTTGGGGGCGCGCGTTACATCTCCGCAGTGCGCTCTCATTGGATACTTTGGCATCTCGCCCAATCAGAGCGTCGAGCGCAGAATTTCTCACCAAAACCAAACTGCACGCCCCAATTCCCAATCATCAAAGATATCGCAAGAGGCATCTGATCCCCCCCCCCAATCCCTCCCCCCGCTCACACCCACACACCCACACACCATCCCTCCATCCTTTCTATAGAATACAATCAATCACTCGTTCTCATTCGTCCTGGATAAGGTGAGTAGCGAGTAAATAGCATTGCAGTTTGTGACAATAATCAACAACCCCCCCCTGTCGACACTACCCGTCACTATCCTCCCCCCCCCCGCGATATTCATATACATTGCTTGCATCTCTCGAAGGCTTAAAGGACAACTCTCCCGACAAGCCGTCAGTAATACCAGGGACCCTCCCCACACACCCGGAGAATTTACCGGTTGTCGGAGTGTAAAGCCCTGAGAAAGAGCCAAGTTTTTAATAAAGCTTGGGTACCTGGGGGGTGTGATAAGGAATTGGCTTCCTGCAGGTTGTTGAGACTAGATAGGATTGAATCCGGAAAGGGTCCAGTACATTAGAAGAAGGATAGGGAAAGAGCCAAGGTTAAGGAACACACATTGAGGCAGGAAGTAGTAATCATACGCCATCCAAATTTGGTCTTTTCTGTAAGTGCTCCCCTTCATCACCCCCCACACTGCTAGATCCGTTTTTCCAAAAGGGTATGCGGAAGTCCTCTACTCTGCTCTGCTCTAGTTACTCTAAAGAACACACCCCCCACTACCCACTACCCCCGTTCTTCCGGGACATACTGAACAGCGCAAATAGCCTGCATTGATCTGCGGTTTCTTTCTGGTTTCCTACCTCATCGCATCATTTCTCTCTTCGTGTGTGCCACGTCTAGTCTGCTTCTCTGTTCCTTTTTTTGTATTCCTCAGCGGAGAATTTACTATATTGCAGCATATTTGGGGGCTGGAATAACGTCTAACACTTTGTCTGGCCCGTAGTAGTAGTACCAGTGGTTTTGCCGGTCCGGAGACGAGAAGTTACTTTAACTACGTTACATCGCGGGAGAGCCTGCTGGATATCCGATTGACCAAAACTGTCAGTCTCCAGTTGTCCGGACTCAATACGGACAGTAGGCAAAAAAACTCGGGGGGCACAGAGTATCACTCACTCCACTCATCTCCACTCCCCTCAAGACTTCCTGGAGCTACACATCTTTGTACCCCACTTTTTTTTCCACAGCTGGCCTTTTCCTCATTAGGATCAGGGTCGAGACCGAGAGCGAAGTTCCGTCAAATCTCCATATCTCTTTCCCTCTTCGAAAACTCACCCCATTCCACATACGTCTTCTTGGCTTCCATTAAGGTACCTAATGCACCCCATTCCCCAATGTGGCGGGTTTGAGTTTAACCGTACGGGCCTAGGTAACTCACAGACAATTGATTGATTGAGTGATTGTCAACATTCAAGTGGATTGATTGATTGCCAGGGGTTTTGCCTTTTTTTTCTTCTTTCTCTCTATATATTTTTTTGTGTGGACGTTTCATGTTTGACGATCATTGCACCGGAGAAAGTGTTTTTTGGAACGGCCACCCTGATAGAGCTGTGGTGGTGGGAGTTGTGAGCTCTATCGTGGCGAATATATATGTATGTTCTCTCTCCCGGCCTCTGGATGATGAGTGCATGGGATGTTCAGCCACTGATAACTAACTGACTCACTCACCCACTCACTCCCCCACGCAGACCATAGAGTATACGAGTTATTCAGAAGCACAATCAAAATAGCTACCAAGCAGCCAAAAGGAAGAACAAAGCTTGTTCAGCGCCCAATGGCCCACGCACCTGCCCCCCTCCATCTCACCCACTCACCCACAACCTCCAACCCCTCGCCGCCCTCCTTCTCCCCCACCATGGCCTCCTCGCCCTCCACCACGGGGACCTCCCCCGCAAAGGCAACCCACACATGCCCTTCCTGCTCCCGCTCATTCTCCCGCGGCGAGCATCTCGACCGTCACCTCACCACCCACATGCCCTCCAACACGTCCAAGGCCTTCGTCTGCCAGTCGTGCTCAAAAGGGTTTACTCGCAAGGACGTACTAACACGGCACATCCGTGCCGTGCATGAGACAAAGCGCCCCGATGTGCGGAAGAGTCGGCGTCGCAGCTGCAGGCGCTGCGCCGGCTTCAAAATAAAATGTTCCGGCGGCGGCCGGGGCGCAGGCAAGAACGGCACGCGGGAGGGCGGCCGGGCAGAGGATCCGTGCGAGGCGTGCAAGAAGCGGGGCGCAGTGTGCATCTACGATTTCGGAGCGCCGGTGGAAGAGGCGGAGGAGAGTCCGAAGACGAGCGCGGAGGATGAGTTGCTGGATTTTGGCTCGGAGGTGTCGGAAGAGGACGGAAATGGCGGCGCACATAAGAGGAGGAGGGTCGGAGAAGAGAGATACGAGACGGTGTTTGAGGATGGCGGACGCAGGGTGTCGCCGCACCTGTTGTCGGCGGCAAGAATGGCGTCGGAGAGTGGGAGCCAGGGTGCGCGGTCAGGGTCGTCGGCTTCGGCGTCGGCTTCGGCGGCTAGCCTGAGGAATTTGATTAGTTGTGACCACACTGCGGAGTTATCGTCGGCAGATCAGCTGATGTCGCTGATGACCACAAACACCTATGGAACGATTCCAAGTCTCGATGGGTCGCGGCCAAGTAGTGGCACACACACTCCGCAGAAAGTACCACTATCTGTTGACATTCCAGTATTTGGAATAAAGCCCCAAGTACCCTTGAAATCTCCCCCGTCTCAGCCTGCGATAGTACCCCAGTCGCCAAATACATCCATGTACCGACGGGATGAGTATTACCAGCCACAGAAGGCTTCAATAAGCGCCAGTAAGCGCCCAGATCCTCTTCCACTATCACCTCGTGATTTTAGAGACAACTTCAGCACTCCGGCCACTCTGGGTGAGTTGTCCTCCTGGCTTGGTACCGGGTCTGAAGCTGTTACTGAAGAAGATTTGCGTGCAGCAAAAACCTTGCAAGGGTTTCCTCCTGTATCTCCTCCGTCGCGGTCACCGCCAAGGCACTTTCCAAATCTGCAGGCTTCAAAGTCTGTAGATATCAGTTCGTTTGTAAACGATGTGCCAGAGGAAAATCAAAGACCTCAGGAATACCCCCCAGTATCTTTTACGGTAGATTATACTCAAAAACAGACAGAAATGCGGCAGAATTCTGGGACCTTCCAGACTGGGAATCTTGGATCATTAGTAGGACAGCAAGACATGGGTGGGAACATCGATATGATTCAATTAGGCGGGTCGAAACCAGAGGATAACCATCCAGGTTACGGTAATGATTTACCAGATCTCGAAAACGATGATAATTGGTTTTTCGACTTTGGGATCTTTGAAACTACCACCGATTGGCTGAGAGGCTGGGGTGACGATTCCTCAGCTCAGGATAACACGGGAATTAACGGCACATTTTCAGAACGACATCTCACTACTGTTGCCCCATCCCCTGCTGGTACTACCGCGCCGGGACGAGTCCCGAGCCCTGTGTTACCGCTAACCTCAAAACCTTTTGTCCCACCGGCAGCGCCTGGATCAGCGTGCTCTGACGAAGGCCCAACAACGTACTGTCCTAAACACCGAGAAGACCATCAGACACGCTTACCATCAGTCAGTCCAATCAAAGACCTTTCCTCCGTCGAAGACTTCTTACCATGGGGCTGGCAGTCGGGTCGAGAAGAGCCGAAGCGTCGTGTAACTCTGCCTCCGCTCAGACAAATTCTGGAGGAGTACACGGCCCCAGCTACTTCTCAGCGCGCCGACTCAGTACCTGCAGGTAAGGATGGCGGCTTGGATGAGAGGATCAGGACTGATATGGTCGAACTGCTGTCTATTCCATATGAGAGGTATCCCTACGAGAGTGCAGATATGAGTAGATTCCCGCCAAAGAAGATGCTTGATGGGTTTATCACACTGTACTTCGAGCAGTTTCATTCAAACTTGCCAATGATCCATAGGCCGACGTTTAGTGTTGCGACGTGCCCAACTATTGTGCTGGTCTCGATGGCAAGTATCGGTGCGAGTTACAGTAATGTCGAGGGTGCCAAGGTCTTTGCGGATACATTGAGCGAGCTTTGTAAAAGGACCCTGGCTTGGATGGTAAGACATATAATCCCGTGAGGTCTCTGGTATGACTTGATTGCTAACCCTAGTTTCAATCAGGCCGAATACAACCCAGAATATCCGCGCTCGGATTTCTACCTCAAAGCCTTATGCCTTCAGAGCGTTTATGCGTTAGGCTCGGGATCCCACCGTCTTTATGACTCTGCAGACGTCTCTAGAAGTTTTCTGATTGGGAATGCCCGCCGTATTGGCTTATTCTCTGGGACCCTTTCGCCGCCAGCATCATCGCCGTCTTCGGCACCAGGTTCTCCAGGCCGGCCCCATACCGAAGACACGCCTCTTTCCCGAGACACCAACGAGCAGCTCGAGGCCCGCTGGAACACATGGCGGAAACAGGAGGAGCTGAGACGGCTCGCCTGGTCAATCTTTGAGTATGACTGTTCATTTTCCACATTATCCAACCGCCGCGGTGCCATAACTCTGAATGATATCTCGACGCGTATGCCCTGTTCCGAGGCGCTCTGGGAAGCGCCGAACGCACACGCGTGGGCTGCGCTCCTGGAGCCGAAGCACTCTACACAGTCGCCTTGTGTGGAGAGGGGAACATTACTCTTTCCCACGCTACGGGATGTCGTTTCGGAGAAGGTATCGCCAGATACTCTTACTAGTTGGGGCAAGAGACTGTGTGCTCAGGCTCTGGGAAGGATATTGTGGGACTTTAAGGAAATAGAGGAAAGTGTGTTGAGTGTTGGTGGTACTAGTACTACCGGCGGCGGTGGGTTAGGGTTGCCGATGTTCGGTCCGGGGTTGAAGCCGGCGAAGGACACACTACTGAAGTCGTTGATGACGCTATGTGAATCGATACAGAAGAAGCAGATGGATGGCGGTATAAGAGATGGCGAGGTGGATGGTGATAGGGTACATATGATGTAAGTTTTCTTCCTTCTACCCTGAGCACTACCGTGATGGTTATTGACTGACAATGATCCAAATAGTCTTGCATGCCTGATATCACACTACACCCATCTCCACGCCGCATTCCCTACCGTCTCTCTCATCCTCTCCCTCGCCCGGCGCCCCCCCTCATCCGCCGACACCGGCGCCGACCCGCGCATCGCCCGCCTCAAAACCATCTTCTCCAGCGACCCCGTCTACGCGCGCACTCTGGCCTGGAACTCGGCGCAGATCATCGCCATCTCGCGCTGGAAGCCTGTGTTCTCCCCCGTCGAGGGAATGCGCATCTTCATGGCCGGTGTCGTCCTCTGGGGTTTTGGCCGCTACTTCAGAGAGCCCACTAGCACCACCAATACAAGCTCGGATGCCCCCAACTCGCCGATCCGTGGAATGCAGGAGCAGATTGTGAGACTAGACTCGCACCCATGGACGCGCGGCGTACAGGGCACGGGCGAATATTGCCCCGAGGAGTGGATCCGTAATGGCGGGAAGAAGGCGACGATTGGGAATGATGATCCGGATGGGAACGCGATGACGGAGATATGCTCGGAGAGAGGCGCGAGGGAGGTGTTGAGGGTTGTGGTGGGGATTTTGGGCCGCATGAGGGTGTGGGGGTTGGGAGGGGAGTTTAAGAGTGTGCTCGAGGAGATGGTGAAGAGGACTTGAGCGGATTTTTGGAGGGGGAGGGGGTATAGATGTTTTTACTTTTTACTTTTGATAACTGTGTTTTTGTTGTGGTTTTTTTTTTTTTAGGTCGTTTCTGGGAGTATCGGTATCGTTCTTTCTGGCCGGGGGCTAGGCTGGCTGGGGGTGTATGAGAAAACGGTCTTGTTTCTGTTCTTCGCTTTTTTCTCTTTCTTTTCTTTCTTTATGACAACGACGTGAACGTGTTTAGTTGGTAGTATCTTGTAATTCACGACAATACTGTAATGGTAAATGTATTCGGGGAAGGGGAAGGGGGCGCGAGATTTTTTTTTTAACTAGAATATGGATTCTCACTCATAGATTATCACTCACTTGTTTTATCTGCTACATCATTTGGGGGGGGGGGGGTTTGATGACATAAGTGGGTACTTGTAGTCGGGTGAGAGGTGCACGGTGTGTTATGTACACTCTGGGCTATTTCATACCATCTACCACCGTAGCCCAGTAGCTATGGTGTGGCCCAGAGGGGCCGAGGTCGGATGTTCAATCCAGGCTTGGTGGAAACACTGTGTGACTGGGTCGAAAGGAGCAGAGCGGGTCGCCTCTCCTATTTGTTGACCTTGTAAGGGGGGTTTAACTTTTTTTCTTTCACTATATGTTTCAACATTGTATTATGTTCACGCACTTTTTGTCCGTGTGGATGTACATCATTGTTTGAGGGTCGTGATGGAGGAAGGGAGGCGCTAGTGCTGGCGTCCGAGGGGCTGTTGGTGCCGAGTGATAGGTCATGATGCACGTGGGGGGTATGGCTAGGGCGAGCACAAAGTTTGAAGATATGGATGGAGATTTAACACTTGGATAAGGTATATCTTTCACTATCCTATTGGATGCCCTTCATATACACATAAAAAGAAACACCTCAAACAGCTAATAGCTAACCACAACCCACCCTAACACACTCTACGCAGCCGCAGCTGGCTTCACCGCATAGATCTGGAACGCACCTAGTACACCACACCCGCGCTCGTTAGTCACAATATCACAACACCCACTATTCACCAATTGATATACCCGCAAACTCATTGAGATCATAATCCGCAATCCCGGCCGCCTTCGGCGCAACCTCCGGGGCCGCCCCGCAGCACGCCTTGGGCGCGGGCTTACAGCAGCTGCCCTTCTTTTTCTCGCCGGCGCCGGCGGCGTTGATGATGCCTTCCTTGTAGATATTGAGGTCCTTCTTCGTGTCTACGATCATTACATCTACCACCACCACCACCACCCGCATGAGCACCATTCACGGCAGCTAGTTGGTTAGATAGATAGATACATATACATACCCTCGAACCCAGCGTCCTTCATCCACGCCTGATACTCCTCGACGAGGCTTGCGCCGGCCACGCAGCCGATGTAGAGTGCGGCGCTGGCCTTGACGGCCTCGGGCAGCGGCTTGCGCGCGAGGATGTCGGAGATGGCGATGCGCCCGGAGGGCTGCAGGAGGCGGAACATCTCGGTGAAGACGGCGGGCTTGTGCGTGGCGGGGAGGAGGTTGAGGACGCAGTTGGAGGTGATGACGTGGGCGGTGCTGGCGGGGAGGGTGGGGGTGGAGTGGATGTAGGATTTGATCTATGGGGAGGTGGGGGGTTAGTTGTGTTGTGTTGGGGAAGGGGAGGGGGGGGGGGGGTGACAGACGAATTCGACGTTGGTGTAGTTGCCTTTGAGGGCGTTTTTGGCGGCGAGGTCGAGCATTTCCTACGGTTGGTGCGAAGCGGGTGTTAGTACTAGCTTTAGCTCTGGGAGCGGGGTGGGAAGGGTCGGGGACAGGGACGGGGGCGGACTTGTGTCATGTCTATCCCAATGACCTTTCCAGTCGGCCCTACTTTGCGAGCGGCGATAAAGACATCCATGCCGGCACCACAACCCATATCTATGACCACCTCTCCCTACAGCACAGAAAGCAGCAGAACAATTAGTATCCAGTATGATGATGATCTAGAGTCACCCCAACGGGCAGCATCCATACGTACCTCCTTCAAACCCGCCATAGCAATCGGATTCCCGCAGCTAACGCCCAGATTTGCGTTCTGCGGGATGCTCACGAGGTCCTCGGCCGTGTATCCAAACGCACTGGCCACCCGCTCGTTGTAGGCGGCGTCGTTTTCGGTCTGGGCCGCTGCATAGCTGCCGTACTGGGCTTGGACGAGTGCTGTTGACATCGTTATGGTTATCGATGTATAATATAATATAGCTTTCGATCAGGAAACCGAAGATGAATAGCTAAGATAGATAGATAGCGGGCTACCAAGAGGCTGCTCTCTGTTAAATAGCTGCTAGTCCCAACCTGCTTGCTAGCTAGCTGCCGCAATATATGCATGAGAATGTCACTGGCCCCAGAGCGTAAGGGTTAGGGGTATGTACATATTCCACAGGGTTAGGGGTAGAGTCGGAGCCAAACAATCGAGCACGTTGCCGGCGTGGGTGCGGCCTTTGGTACCGGCGAGCACCCACAGTGAAATGCAATGTCTGTGAGCTGCTACCCGATAGTCCCCTACTGTGACCTTGCATGTTAATATGTTCCAGAAGCATGTACGCCTCAAGGCCAATGATCAATCTTGCTACTATCCCGTTTACCACTATCACCAGATATCACTTGTCCTCTCAAGTAGATTAGAGTGCTGACTAAGCAAAGACTGGAATGTCACTCGGAGGCTTTGGTTGGTCCCCCCCCCCCCCCCACTCTTTACCACTCCTCGCCATTTTCTTTTTTTCTCACACAGCTTGTTTTTTTGGTCCTGCTGGTAAGGCAGTTGTGACAGTGACCTCCAGGTTCCAGATCCATGGCTTCCCGAAGAACAACCGACAGTGACGGAGGCGGTTCAAAAGAGGTAAATGAGCACGTGCCCTATTGCCCTATTCATCCCAACATCCCCATACCCCCCCCCCCCCGCCGCCGCTATTATTATTATTGAGGCACCACATTTTATTGACTCGACGGGTTTTTCTGTTACACACGTGCTGTACTGTAGGATCCGCGCCTCCACCGTATCCGTGAAAATCAGCGCCGCTCGCGCGCCCGCAGGAGAGAGTACTTGGAGGATTTGGAGGCGAGGTGGAAGAGATGCCAGGAGCTGGGCGTCCAGGCGGACGTGGAGCTGCAGAGGGCTGCGAGGAAGGTCATTGAGGAGAACAATATGTTGCGAGAGATTTTGGCGGAGATGGGGGTTAGGAGGGAGGAGGTGGAGAGGAGGTTGAGAGGCTTGAGAGCTGGGAGTGCGGCGAGTGGCGGTGGTGATGGTGGGGTGGTGGTGGTGCCTGATAATGGGTGTGGTGTTGGTGGTGGTGGTGGTGGTGGTGGTGGTGGTGGTGGTGGTGGTGGTGGTGTTGCATTTGGTGGTGGTGGTTCTGCTGGCCAGCAGCAGTTCGGTTTCCCGGGAATAACGGCAGGGTTGGAGGGGGAAGGTGAGGCGCTGGCTGTACCACCGGGGATCGAGTCTCTGGATCTGTCGCAGTTAGATCTAGATATCGATATCCCGGAATTCAGGGCTGATGCTGCTACTGCTACTGCTGCCGGCCCTGCCACAGCAGCAGCTGGCGCTGTTAACGAAACCCCAGCACTAGACTTTTCCATGAATCTGATGGAGCCAATGATCCAAGACTTTGATAACATGTTTGACATTTCCGAGTTCATTGAGCAGCCGGTAATTAAAAAGCTACTTTGCCTTTCATATTGTTTTTGTTTTTTTGTTTTGTTTTTGCTTTGTAGCTTGTGTGTTTGGTTTGGTTTGTTAATGATCGGTTTTCTCCAGTTTGACTTTTCCTTGCCAATGGGATCTGGAGACGAAAGCGCAAGCGCCACCATTACCAGCACCACACAAGCGCAGCAGCAGGCTACTAGTAGTCCGGCTTTCACAACCGTAGACACGACGACACAAACAGCCTCCTCCTCCTCCTCGCTACAGGCACCACCAACCACAACAACAACAACAACAGCAACACCAGGCGCTTGTTCAGACACCTGCCGGACGTCGAATATCCGGAACACGACGCCCTGCACGGAGGCCTATGCGCTCTTGAAGGCGCTGAACGCGCAGCGGCAGGAACATAAGGACATGTTTGAGATTGTGCTGGAGCTCTGGAACGGGTTCTGCTATCCGAGTGATGCGGAGGGAGCGGGGGCGGGGGCGGGGTGTAGGGTGGATAACGAGGTGCTGAAAAGGGTTATTGATGGCATGCAGAAGTAGGTTTTGGGGGGTTTGTTTGTGTGGTTTTGTGGTTTTGGGGGATTTGTTTGGAGGGGTTGTTTCGTGGGAGTTTATGGTTGTTGAAAATGTCAAGTAGCACTAGTTGAATAAGGTTGGCTACAGAAAAACACGTGTGGCCGGGATAACAGCAGAGTACTCTAGTGAAACACGTGCATGCAGTCCACGAGATGTAGCCGTTCCACGTTCAACTTCATCATCCATCTCTTTAATGACGAGCTTCATCTCTTGAGAAAAGAAGAAAAATCGGACCCTCACATCATTTAGCCAGAGTCCTGCATCCTGCAGTCCTTACACCATAGTGGGGTTCGATTACTCTAGAACTACTCTACGTACATAGCGCGCTTATTGAGTCGTCGGATATCGTTGCAACTGGCTACTCTACTCTACTCTACATGATGATGTAGCCACTGGCCAGGTCCCCCAAAAAGCATCCGAAGACGCAAGTATCGAGTGCTCAAATTGCTCAAAACTCAAAGCTTCTATTGTACTTACGCCACATATGTAGGATTCTAGACCAGACCAGCCTGCTGCCACTGTACCTACTCTAGACACGTACATGAGTGTAACGACCCCGGGGGAAAAGGTTACCAGGATCTCCGCCTCGTCCTTTACCGTACCGTATACACTCAACTTTTTGTTAAATGATGAACTGTCATTCACGCCACCACCCCCGAAATTATGGTCGGTAAACACAAGGTACAATAAGCAATCTGCATCCAATCACGGCCTGTTTGGGTGGCCTTACTTACTTCTGTACCTTTATAGTTAAGTAGCTGTTGTTTTTTCTGGGTGCTTCGTAACTAAGTTTACCGACGGTCAAGGCCGGGAATCCTTACCATATTCCATCCCATCTTGATGTGTAGGGTAGGTCCTTAGAGATTTGTGTTACATATACATTGCTGATACATGATGAATCGCAGTAATACAGGTTTATATATACATTCACTGTACGTCACAGTATGTTCTTCGGTGACGGATCGCTACACTATGTGTGTGTCCTGCTACCAGCTCCAGGTTGAAGGCAACATAAGATTTGGTGAGCTGGGGCAGGACATGTCCTGATATAAGAAATATCTAACGAAGACTTGAGATTTTATGTTCTCAGCTTAGAATTTCTACTCTCGGTTTAAATGCGAATGATCCCTGGATTCACGTGATCCCCGGTGTACTGTTTACCAAGGAAACAGTTCAAGGCAGTCAAGTAATAAGGCTGAAACGAAACGGACCGCGAGTCCGAACCCGGGCACTTCTGAGGCTCCGGAGCGCATATATATATACATACATATATCTATCAGCCCCATACTGGCCAGCGCCGCATCTTGCCGCTATCGGGGTAGCTAGAGTAAGGGTAATACATATTCGATCAGATAACCCATAGACATAATAATACATTCCATATAGGGCGGACATCCCGCACGTAGGAGCTTCGCCGGAACATAACTTCTTGCTCACCGGGCCGACTACGCTACAAGTATCGACGATGTGGGGTGGAAATATACGCATAAACCACAGCTACACACGCCGCCGTGGTGGGAGGAGGTATGGATCAGCTACCAAGACGTTCACCTAGCTTGGCCTTAGGTGTTGCTGTGCGGACAAGCTTTAATGTCGCTCTTGGTCCTCAAACATGATCATCCAGACTCGGTGTCTACTGCATGTAAATTGTTGGTAATCGAGCTGCATTCTCCGACTAGAGATGAACATAATTTGTTCTGGCTAGCCGTATATATATGATTGCTTCCCCCCAACCCCCAGCCCCGATGTTGTTAGTGTAAGCAAACACCTGGAACTCCATCGTGCTCCGGTTTTTTCTCTTATATCCTACCTATAGCAGGACTATCACGTCGGATTAATGCTGGCTCATTTTTCACTCTTTTAATTCCTACATTCTTTCATTCATTCACTCTTTTTATACACACTCGTTTCGACCTTCCAGGTCCCTCCCTCCCCAACTCTGCGTTTTTTGACAAAACACAGTATTCCTGTCATTACCTCACATAATTCCAGTCCCCTTCCAACATGAAATTCCTAGCCCCAATCACACTCATTGGCCTTACCTGCCTCCAAACGGTAACCGTCTCCGCAGCCCCCGCGTCAAAGGAATGGCGCGAGAACAAAAGCCTTGGACAGGCCGGAGCGCCCAGCTACAGACGCAGTGAATGTAAGTTAATTCAATTCCTCAATACCTCTGGCTCTTCGAAGCCTTGAATTTTTAATCTGTCTTGAGACTTGACTAACACCACCGTCATGATACAGTATCCACATCCGGCGGTACGATGATCAAGTTACGCCGTGGAGCACCAGCACCAGCACCCGGCGCCCCAGCACCAGACGCTGCCAAAGGCGCTGCTGCCGCCCCGGGCGACGACGCAGCACCAGCTGATGAAGCGGCACCAGGAGACGAAGCGGCACCAGGAGACGAAGAAGCGCCGGCCGACGAGGCCGCACCAGGCGGTGCGGAGGGCGGTGCTGCTCCTGCTGGAGGCGCGCCGGGGGTGCAAAGGGTGCCCCCGGAGCTCCGGGTGCCCCGGGTGCTCCTGCTCCAGACGCGGCTGGTGGTGCTCCGGGTGGTGCGCCGAAAGATGGTAAGGGTGCTCCTGGCGCTCCGGGTGCTCCGGGTGCTCCGGGTGCTCCGGCTCCAGGTGCAAAAGGTGCTCCTGGGGGCGCTCCCGGTGGTGCTCCAGGTGGTGCCCCAGGCGGTGCCCCAGGTGCTCCTCCCGGTGGTGCTCCGGGCGCTCCGGGGGCTCCAGGTGCCCCAGACGCAGCTAAGGGCGCTCCAGGTGCCCCAGGTGCTCCGGGTGCTCCGGGCGCCCCAGACGCAGCAGGTGGTGCTCCCGGCGGTGCACCAAAAGATTCAAAGGGTGCCGCGGGTACTCCGGGTGCTCCTCCTCCAGGCGCTCCAGGTGCTCCGGCCCCAGATGCGGCAGGCGGTGCAAAAGGTGCCCCCGGCGGTGCTCCAGGCGGTGCTCCAGGCGCTCCCGGCGGTGCTCCAGGCGGTGCTCCAGGCGCTCCCGGCGGCGCCCCAGGTGCTCCAGGTGCTCCAGGCGCTTCAGACGCAGCAGCTGGAGCTCCCGGCGGTGCTCCAGGTGGTGCACCAAAAGATGCTAAAGGTGCCCCAGGCGCTCCAGGCGCTCCCGGTGCTCCAGACGCAGCAGATGATGCTCCAGACGCAGCAGCTGGTGCCCCAGATGCAGCAGGCGGCGCTCCTGGCGGCGCTCCCGGCGGTGCGCCAAAGGGTGCTCCAGGTGCTCCAGGCGCTCCCGGCGGTGCCCCAGACGCAGCAGGTGGTGCTCCCGGCGGTGCGCCAAAAGATTCGAAGGGTGCCACAGGTGCTCCGGGTGCTCCGGGTGCTCCGGCTCCAGATGCAAAAGGTGCTCCTTCCGGTGGTGCTCCGGGTGCCCCAGGCGCTCCAGGTGCTCCAGATGCAGCAGGTGGTGCTCCCGGTGGTGCACCGAAGGGCGCTCCAGGCGCTCCAGACGCAGCAGCTGATGCTCCAGGAGATGAAGCCGCTCCAGGGGACGAGGCCGCCCCAGCCGATGAGGCCGCCCCGGCAGGTGAAGCCGCCCCAGCCGATGAGGCTGCTGGCGGTGCAGATGAGGCCGCTCCAGCAGATGAGGCTGCTGGCGGTGCAGACGATGCCCCAGATGCAGACGATGCCGCAGGTGGTGCTCCAGGTGGTGCCCCCGGCGGTGCTCCAGGTGGCGCTCCAGGTGGTGCCCCCGGCGGTGCTCCAGGCGGTGCTCCAGCTGGTCCCCCCGGCGGTGCTTCGGGTAACCCAGGCGCCCCAGCCCCCGGATCTCCAGGTGCTGCTCCTCTTCCAGGCGCTCCGGGCTCTGGCACAGAGCCTTCGGCCGGCGGACGTGGTCCAGGTGGTCCAGGTGGTCCAGGTGGTCCGGGTGGTCCGGGTGGTCCGGGTGGTCCGGGTGGAAAGCATGGAGGAGGAGGAAGAGGATGGGGTGGAAAACGTGGAAAGGGGAGGGGAGGAAAGAGAGGCCATGGTAGGGGTAAGAGAGGTCATGGTGGTCCTGGCGGTCCTCCAGGTGGTGCTCCAGGAGGTGGTGCACCTGGCAAGGGACACTAAGCTGTCAAAGTCAGACGGGAAAGGTTTATGGTTATACATTAAGATATCAAGCCTGTTTTATAACTCACAGAATTAGTTTGAGTTGTGGTTGGCATTAGTTGTATTGTTCTATTTTTTGGAGATTTTTTTCTTTTCTTGCATCTGCATTCATGGGCGTTTGTTTCATAGAGGGTTCTGTTTCCAAGGTGTGCATGTGGGTGGGTGGATATCATGGTTTGTGGCTGCTGCTAGCTACTTAGATAAATATATACGTGTACATGTAGCCGGCTCCATCAATATTCACACGCATGGTGTTTACGTTTTGGTGCTTATTTTGTCTTGCTTTTCGTGAACATTGGACGGTGAAAAGGCCGCTGTTGGAGTAGATTCAGCTACCACGCGATGTAGTAAGCGGGTTGGAGCGTTGTGGTGTGGCGGGTAGGTAAGTGTTTTCGTAGAAGGATGTGCGCACATGCACGGTTAATGAATTATGAATTACTTAGTCAATCGTAAAAGGATATGGTAATTGGAATCACAGAATATCACTCGATAAGACGTGCGATCTACTCTAAAATAACCAATCGGGTCGATAGGTATATACGTACGTGCGTAGAAGAGGGAGGTAGGAAACAGGTGGGTGGACAATAGCTTCGATGTCGCCTAAGTACTTACTCCTCCCCATATTCATCCTCATCATCACCATCATTCGGCCGTTGTTCTCGCTTTCACTAGTTCATTTCTCCTACTAAGTAGTTACTTCCTTCACATTCTTTATAACTCGTCGGTACTATAGCCGGTGTTGAACCTGGAGACGTGGATATAAAGGGCAGCCAATACCGGTAGCTAGTGTAGTAGGCAGATGTGGTCTCGCGAGGAATATGTATGTACTACCAAGATTAGGCTAGCCAGCTGCTGAGTTCTTAGATACAGGACTATGTGGTATTACCTTTGAAACAATCGCCGTGGAGGTGGTAAGTAGCAGTGTTTGGTATGGTGTTGGTGTTGGGGCTGGGCATTTACACGGGAGCGTCATTGGGCAGCACTCGGCACCAGAAACACAACTCCTCACTCGTCGCCGAAAAAAGACAGAAATGATCTTTTATCTGGTCAAGTCAAAACTACAACCCAAGTCCTCTCTTCGTTTCTGGTATATCTCCCCTCAACATCCAAACCCCAAGTTTCTCCTCCTCCTCCTCCTCCGCCCCCAACCCATCACCCTGCACCCCCCAGCACCCCCCTCGCCACCTCCAAATACCCCTGACTCACACCGCCCACCCTCGCCTCCCCCATCCTACAAATACACACCCCCGCAACCTCCACGTCCTCGGCAAACACCCGCCCCCGCCCCCACTCCAGCGCCTCGGCCGCATCAAACGTCACCCGCTCGCCGCGCCCCCGCCCGCGCCCCCGCCCGCGGATGTACACCGTGTTCACGACAGTGGCATGCAGCAGCAGCGGCCGCGTCTCGGGCACCAGGAGCCCTGCAGCAGAGAAGAGGGAGCGGATGTGTTCCGCGAAGCGCGGGAGACGGCCGCTGGCGTCGTGCGGCGCGGTGTAGAGGACTGTGGCGCGCTGCGGGGGGCCGAGGCAGGTGAGGTTGCGGAGGGTGATTTTTAGTGGTGGCGGGGGTGGTTGGCCTTCTTCTATGGGTGCTTGGGCTACGGGGGTGGGGGCGGGGGTGGGCGTCGTGGAGCGGAGGATTGCGGGGAGGTCGAGGGATGAGAGGAATGAGGTTGCGGATTGGAGCTGCTCGGGGGTGGGGAGGGACATGACGCCGAGGGTCAGGTGCAGGGTGACTGCGGGGCGGATTGCGGCGGGGGGGAGGTGCGGGGAGAGGAGGGTGGTGAGGGTGGTGAGGGTGGTTTGGAGGGTGGGGAGTGCGGCGGGGGTGTGTAGTGGGATGCTGAGGAAGTGGGTTAGCGGCGGGCGGCGTGGGGGTGCCATGGTGGTGGACTTTTGGGGAGGGGAGGGCTGGTAGTGTGTGGATTTTGCGGGGGCGAGGTCTACGGGGAGTGGTGGTGATAAGATGATCTGATTAGATGGGCTGTCTGATTAGATTACCGCGATTAGATTGATTAGGTTGTGCGCATGTTCATACCACACTCCATACGTTGACACTAGACTATACGTCCTGGGATGAATTGTCGATTTCTGCCTAATCAAATCCCCACGGGTCCAACACAGCCACCGCGCCTACGAATGCCACTCCAGTATATATCCATAATGACGCCGGGAATCTAATATATGTATCTCTTGTGCTTGTAAGCCAAACTCTCCAGGTTTGTAAGTACTGCTGCTGCTGTTGCTACGCACAAGTACCGGTGTGTGCAGCTTATTTTTGCGCCGGCTAATTTGGTATTGCATGCGCGTTCTACATGGAGAAGTACGTACCATACATGTGGTTAGTCGGGAACATTTCTTGCCTTGATGGCGTGGTTGCATAAATAATGTTTCTTGCAGAGCGGTCATTCATCCCTTCTTGCTAGCGCCTTCTCCTGCTTGCTTAATTGTGCGTAGGCAAGAAAATGTTGGAAATGGCTGTGTCCGCAGTGAACGTAACTCTAGACCCTCATCCTACCTCTTTGTAATTGTTCCCGAGTACTAGCTGCACAGGAAGATACGAGTACATGTATACACGCGTACTCTAGCGATATAGTCCGATTTAATTAGGTATTTCCCAATATATGGACGCCTACCAACCCGATACCATCCCCCCCCCCTCTATTCAGGACTCCAAGTATAACCACACATGAAGAACCGACACAACGGGGCTGTAACGTAGGATAGGGTGGTCCTGGGTACGCGCGGGCTGGGACGGTGGGAATGAGCTTTCCTGACATGACGACACCTAGCGCCGAGTGATGTCTCATGACGTAAATTACATGACAGGGCCATGGATGGGATGAGATGATGTTATGATTGGCAAAAGCAAACACGTACAGAGCTGGATGTATTTGCTGGGCGTGGAACTTTTGTGGGTGTTAAATATGGGGGGTTGCTGTGTTCTGGTTCTAGCTAAGTAGCTGGGCGTAGATGTAGATGGTGGTTGTCGTAAGCGTACCTTTGATGGGGCTTGGGGTCGTGTGGGGATTGGTAGTGCCCGGGTTGTTGTGTCGGCGGTCTTGCGTGCGGCTGTGTATGGGGCGGGTTGGGCTTGCTTTAATTTGGTATCCCTTACGCTGTTGATTGTTTAACCAACTTGAGGCCTAGCTAGGCATGGTGGCATCAGGCGAACTTCGGGTCTGGTCAATCCCCGCACTCATCCAGAAAATCTCATACAAAGAAATGTAGTAGATATACAGCACGGGGTTATATGTAAACCTGCGAATTAAATCAAAATCCTACCAACTATGTTATAATAATTTCAATAAATTAAACAACAACAACAACAAAAAAAGATATTACAATAATCGCAGCAAGTCATTGTGATGGTGGATGATTGCTAACGATTACATTATATGTTAAACGGTTCCTTAACATGTCGTTTGGACGTGGTTCCGAGCTTGTTGTATCTGTCCTTTTGTCTTGGAGCCATTGTGTTCTCTAAACCATAGCTGTAAACAAAGAGGGAAGTTTCTCTCCCTCTTTGTGTTTCTACTCATCTGTTCATACAATACATTTCTACGTCCTTGACTCTTTACATCTCTGAGAACAAACCATACCGTATCAACACCATAGCAGTGCCCGGCCCTGACACGGGTACCGGCTCGCACTATAGTACTACTCCCCAGCCCGCCGGCGATGCTGTGTATCGACCTCTCTTCTCAGATGCAACAAAAAAGGCTCAGCACCTCTAATACGAAAGTGCAAGAACGTTGGTCTTTGTGGCGCTGCGAGTGATGAACCATGATCCTCTACGTCCGCAGCCAACTTCAGCCGACTGAGCTGGTTCGCCTTTTGCACCCGTATACAGCTAGGCGGTATTACTTCTAGTCATGATCACCGCACCGCCTTTTTGGTTCCATAAGTCTCCGTCAGATCTTACAACATAAGGCACACTCGTCTCCAAAAAGCACAATGGCAACGGTGACTCAGGAGAAGTGCAAGTGCAGTTTATGTACAAGCGGTTACACCGTGTACTGCCCCCCCGGTCTCTCTCAGTCTCGAGTGAGAGCCTGTGACTTCTATCGGTAGGGCTAGAGGAGGGCATGGGGTATCACTCGATGTTCTTGCGATCAAGATGGAAATTGGGCTTGGAAGTACCGTTGATTGGATCCGGAGTTTGGAGATATCAGTGAGTGTGCTATGATAATTCTCCGGAGAGCTGCGTCCCGAGGAGAAGGTTAACATTATAATTACATGCTAGTCGTAGTATTCTTCCAGAACACGCACCACCGCTACTCTATCGCACACACCTTCATCTCCCCCATCCTTCCCCCCATCTCCCCCAATATCTCTCAACGCCACAGCTAGTACACCAATCTTTCCCCCCAAGAAACTTATCCCACTTCAGCAGCAGCCAATTCCAACCCCAATTACAGGTAATTAGCCACCCCCAAGAATCCAAAATAACCCCCAAGCTGATCGAGTCCCAAATTCCCGCTGCCATCTCCCCCCCCCATCCCAGCCCATACCACCACCGTCAAAACCGCCGAAATTAAAAAGAGAACACTTCCAATCTTCTCTTCCCCCCCTTGCCCTGTCCATACCCACGCCCCCCAAAGATCCACCCGGCGTCACGCGATCCCGAAGCCCAGGAAATTACACCCTCTAGCTGGGGCCGGGCATGGGCATAGTGGGCGTATTGGAAAGGAAATGAAACAAAACAATCTTCTAGAATTTCGCGCAGAAGAAATTATGTGCCCGTGCGTTCACACTAGGCCTGTCCTGCTCGCGCTCCATTATTCTGCCCCTGTGTCGGTACTCTACTGTGTTGGGGTCGGTGCGGGCCCTGCATACAGAACACACAGCCAGAGATGGAATAGACACAGCCAGATTGAATAGGTAGAACACAAAACGGCTCGGCCGGCGCCCACAAACAGACAGAAACAGGGGTTGGGGTTTCCGCAAAGAAACAGCTGCTCTTGCTGCTTTCGGCTTAGAACCACAAAACTAACAATAAACAGCACCTTTCGCCGACGGAAACGCACCACCCACCAAACTATCGTGGTCCCTGGCGATCCGGAAACGAAACGAAACGGACCTGCCTTCTTCTCTGATCTCAATCGTTCATACCCTGAGCCCGAAGCCCTAAGGGGCCGGAGGGTGCACATGTCCATCACGCACCGGCTGTTACCGGCGAACAGACCACGATGTTTCCGTCCTTGTGGTTTGTGGTCCTGTTCCCGGGAACGTGTGCTGCTCTCTGCTTTAGTCCTGTCCTGCAAGAAGCACGAACGCACGTATGTAGGTACGGTACGAACGATCCATGGTAGGTCTATGGGTACTTCTACCCACCTACCAATCGATCGATTGAAAAGAGAGGTGTAAACAAAAAAAAAAAAAAAAAAACATGAAAAAACAAGCAAAAAAAACAAAACAAGTAAAACAACTTTTTTGCTGTTGCCAAAAGCAACAAGAAGCAAGCAACGACGGAGCTTATGATATCATCATTACAGGGGAAAAATCGATCATCTGGGATCTCTACCACATTTTTCCCTCGGTCGAGTCCCTGGATGGGGGGATTTGGGGGGAGGGTGTGTCCAATCTGGGTAGAGTGCGATATGGCGCCTACTCTACTCTACCGCCATAACTCGAAAAATTGGCTAGCTTCCAGAGATCAAAATTACTTGTATGGGAAACTTCTGATGCAGATCAATGCCATTCAACCAATCACTCGAGTGATAATCCCTGGCCGGAGATAGCCAATTTTTCGAGTTTTGGCGGTACTCTAACCTAACCCAGGACTGTGGAAACAGCCGATCAGATCACAGCGTTTGTCAGAGAGTAGAGTATGTAGCCTGTAGGGACAGAATAGGCGGAACGTACCGGTCGCTTGGAGTTGAAAGTTGCGCTTCTTTTCCTATGCACTCTACTGGCTGTCTGTCTGTCCAGCGTTTGGGGGGAGGCAAATATTGGGAATGCGGTCTGTGT